TAGTATTCTTTAATTTTTAGTTATTAATAGTACTAATTAGATTAGTATATTCTAATAAAAAGAGATTCCCTTATTTCTAAGTATATAATACTAACTTCTATATACTATTAATAATATAAAAATACTTAAGTTCTCTCTTAAATATAATTTTAAATAGATATATTATTTATTTATATAAATAATAATTCTAATAGATTTTATCTTTCTTATATATTTAGTATATATAGATAATATATAATACTATAAGATTTCTTTATATTAGATATATTACTGCTATTCTTAGGTTATTATTTTTTATTTCTTTAAATTATATAATATAATTTCAGCCTAGCTATATATTATAGGATAAATATAAATAGCTTATTCTTATAGGTTCTTATTATTTATTTATAAGGTTATTATATATTTCTATTAATTTTATCTATATTTAGTTTTAAGGCTATTATATATCTAGTATTCTTATAGCTAGGTTTAGAATCTTACTTATTCTCTATTTCTAGGTATTTTTTAATAGGGGTAATAATATTCTAATTAGCTACTAGAAGTTCTAACTTTCTAGCTAGTATACTTCTTATCTAGGATATATTATAGATATTTTATCCTAGTATAGAAGTATTTTAGAGATTATTCTTTTCTTAATATTCTTTAGATATTATTACTTTCTATTTTCTATTATTAGGGGTAGTATAATAGGTCTGGTTATCTATTAGAAATTAAATCTCCTTATTATATTATAGCTATAATATAGGATATTTTATTATTAAGTTATTTATAGTACTATATTATTCTAAGTAGAATTATTTCTAGATATCTTTATTTTTATTTTAGCTATAATTTCTTTTCTTTTTTAGTTTATTTATTATTCTACTTTAGTTTTCTATTTATTTTTTATACTATATAGCTTATTTTTATCTTTTTTTTATATTATTTTAATTTTCTTAGGTATCTCTAGTATATAGCTTAAGAGATAGAGTATTATTAAGTATTAACCTCTAATTATTATTTTATAGCTCTATTAAACTTCTATTATAGCTGCTCTAGGTTATATAAGAGTTTTAAATTAAATAGCAATTTAAGGTTTATTATTATTATTATTATACTAGTAGTTAGTAAATTATATACTCTACCTTTTAGTATAGCTTATACTTTTAGTTAGACTTTAAGGTATAATACTTACTTTTAAAGTAGCCTATCTTTTTATAGTTTTATATTTAACCTTTAAGTAATTCTTTTAAGTAGCTTCTAATTCTATAGTTCTAATACTATTTTATAGAAGGTATTACCTAGTATCTTTTTTTTAGTTAGTATTATTCTTCTTATTTTTTAAATAGTATATAAATATTCCTTCTAACTTTTTAGTTTTCTTTTCTTATTATCTTTTAAATTATTAGTTATTAATTTCTATAAAGAGAGTAATAAGAATATTAAAGATTATAGGCTTATACCTAATTATTATATTCTTAACTTCTAACTTAAGTTCTTTATAGTAAGCTACTATATATACCTCTTTTTTAGTTTAGGTATAAGTGCTATTATAGAATTCTCTATATAGCTTAATACTAATATCTTTTAAATAAGCTTCTAAAGTTATATTTTAACTACTTATTTTTTATTGATAAAACTAAATATATCTTGCAGTTCTTATTTAAATACTTTATAGCTAGTATAAATAGCTTAGTTTTATCCTTTTATATATAATAAGAATTATTAAGGTAGTCTCTTATAATTAATTTAAATTATTAGAGTATTTTATTTTTAAGGAGTTCTATAGTATAGCAGATCTTAGCTTCTTCTCTAGTAAATTATATAGAGTAGTAGCTTTAAAATACTCTAACTTATATAAGAAATTCTTAAAGGCTAGTAGCTGCTTATTAAATAAATTGAGTTGCTTGGTCTGAGAATTTCTTCTATATTTTTTTATTTACTATAAAGAATCTAGATAGGTAATATAATTACAGTAAAATACCTCTTAATAAATAAAGTCTCTACTAAAATAGTTATTTTATATTAAGAGCTAGGTAACTTACTCTATTAATTATTAATTTTATTATCTTTTTCTAAGTTTTTTTAATAAAAATCTTAGTAAGCTTATTAAGCTTAACTTTAAGATAATTATTTTACTTTTAGAATTTATTAAGATTCTTTTTAGTAACTTTATTATTAGAGTTAGATTTATCTATATTTATATTATTAATAGAGTCTTAGCCTATATTATAGAAGTAATAGGATTTTTTCCAGATTTAAATAAATACTTAAAGTTATAAGAGCTATTTTAACTTATTTAAGATATTACTTAGGTTAATATAGTAATATACTAAATAAGAGCTATTAATATATAATAGTTAGATTTAACCTAAAGGTATAGAGTAAGTTTAAGATATAAAGTATATAATTAAGTAAATTAGGATATTATAATAAGTAATATAGATTATAGTTTAGTAATAGTAAAATAGTAGATTTAATATAACTAAGTATATTAATAGCTAGTAAGGCTATTTATTTATAAAAGTACTAAATAAATATATATATATATTATAATAAATTATAAGAATTATAATAGTAATCTTAATAAGCTATTACCTAGAATTATAAGGATTATAGTAGTAATCTAAGTAATTCTTTATTTAATTAGTCCTTATACCAGGGATTACTAGATTATAGAAGTAATCTAAGTAATTCTTTATTAATTAGAGAAAAATAAGAGTGGGGTATTATAGTTTTGCTGCTAGAGACTGCCTAGTCTTAACCTAAGCTATAATACTTTTATTATCTTTTTATATTAAATAGATATAAAAGCTACTATTTAATTAAATTTAAGCTATTCTATAAAAAGAATAAGATTATTACTCTTTATATATTGCTATATTTATTTTATATCCTCTAGCTACTTAATATTAGCTACTTTAAGCTACTTAAGTAGGCTTACAGTTAATAAATTAAGGATATAGTAAAGATTTAAATTATCTATATTATTAAGGTTAACTTTTTTTCTGTATTTTAAGCTGTATTTTAAAGTGTAATATTAGAAAAGAATATCCAGGGAGGTTTTAAGGTATAGAACTTATTTTTTATTGTTAAATTAGAGGTATAGAATACCAGGGCTCTAGGATGTTACATATAGAATAGGAAGGCTTTTAGGCTTAAGTTACTAGGGGCTTGCCAAGCTCTCAGCCTAGTCAGACTGTATATAGAAGATAGTTAAAAAAAGCTATAATCTCAGGGCTCTACTTATAGGCCCGGGGTATAGTTTAAAGCAAACAGCCTCTTATAATAAGAATAGATATATAATATACACACATATTCAAGATTATTAAATAATTATATAAGTAATCTAACACCTATAATTCAGAAAGTATACTTTCTTAGTTAGATATTAAGTTATAGACTTTATTACCTATAGAAAGAGATTTTAAACTGCCTATTATCTAGATTTTAAAAACCCTAAATAACCCAATTAAAGCTACTTTATAAATTAATTTTATTAAAAGCTAAATTAGCTATTATTAGAAAAGCTCTCTAATATTAATTTTAGCTACTATAAACTAATTTATAAAGGGGGCGCGAGAAATAATATACTAGATAGTATTATTAAAGACAGAGGTTAATAAGCTTCGGGAGGCAAATATAACCCTTAGCCGGCGGCGCAGGGCGAAAAAAACATATCTCTGGCTTTCAGGGAGCATAACAGTAGCTAAGGGGCAGGAGCTATAAGATTAGAGGGAAATCGCTAATCAGATATAGCAGGAAATACAGCAAAGTAGTAGTCGGAAGAGACAGACGGAGACAAGGGAATAGCAATATAGAAGATACAGGCAACCCGGGTATAATATGCATACTTGTGAAATTGATATAAATGCGTCTAAGGAAGAGGATACTGATTGATTTTAATTGATTTTAGGTATTGTGGTTGGTTTATCTTAATATTAATCGTGAAGGTATGGTTTTGTGCCTCACTCGCTTGTCTGCCTCACTCGCTTATCATGCACGTTAGTTAATTCACTAATTCAGTTCTTTTGTAGAAGCTCGAGCCAGTTGCGAAAACGCGTTCTAGGTGGGTTGTGGTGCTAGGTGGGGTAAAGACACTGCTGACATAATTTGGGCACCTGGGTGCCCAAGGATGGATGGGCACCCGGGTGCCCATGTATCAGTCGCCATCTCACCCCCCTCTATAACTAAGATCAGTATATTGAACTATTAGAGGATTGCATCAGCCGAGGGTCAATCCAACGTCTCCTATAGGACTAGGTAATTACCTAATGACCGGCCAAATACATAATCTCCCGACAGCGCGTCGCTTATTAATAGATCTTGACTGGAAGGAGCTCATTCCGTTTGGGACTTCCAAGCTTTAAGTCTAACGTCTCAATAGCCATAAGTTATTTAGTTGGTATGTTGCTGGGGCAGCTGAGTTGAAGTTTGCTTGGTCTCCTAATTCAAAGTAATTATACGGTATAAATCAATATCCTTAAGCGCTGACGCCTGGGTTTGATGTGGGTGGTCGGAATTAGAGCCCTGGTTGCGCCACAAGAAAATCACCCAAGCTCAGGATAAAGCAGCGGCAGCTCAGGAATATAGATAAGAATGGAAATTAAGATGGTCTAGATTCGTCGCTCACTTCCTCTGTAAGACACCCTCATCTCTAGATCGATAACCTGAGCATGTGGCCTCCTATGGCTCTTACTGTCTCTCTATTGATTATTTTCTCTATTTAATACCTGCAAAGGCTACAGTTACGTAGCGCGAGAGTATTTATAGCCTCGTACTGGCTGCTGCTTCTGCTTGTCTTTGGGGTAAATCTGCACTTGTCAATTTCACAGCGCATTTACTAAGATAACTTACTGGGTTTTATCTTTATTTATATCGGCTTTGGACTTATTTATATCGAGTTCTTGCTAGCTTGGGTAATCCCTAGCCAGACTACCTATCAACTATTAAAAGGCAGCAAAATTGAGTGCCCGAGTGAGCGTGCAACTCTCATTTCCACGCTTACATTTAACTGGATGACTCCAATAATCAGGCATGGCTACAAGCAATATATCACAGAAGACAACCTTTGGGATCTGGCCAAGCAAGATACCGCTAGGGCCGCCGGTGACGCATTTTAATACGCCTGGGTTCACGAGCAAGTGTGCAAGGAGAAGCCGTCTTTGTGGGTTGCACTATTTCGTAGGTTTGGAGCTGCCTATGCTCAGGGAGCTCTCTTTAAAGCTATTGCAGACGTGCTCGCAATTCTGCAGCCTCAACTCCTGTGGTTTTTTATATTATTTATGGATTCATACCAAAGTTACCAGCCTCAACCTTTTACCTTCGGTGCTGCTATCGCCTTGAGTATGTTCGCTGTCTCGGTAGCGCAGAGTCTATATCTTTATTAATACTTTCAGCGTCTGTCACAGACCGGAGTCAAGTTGAAGTCCGCTCTCGTCTCGGCTATCTATAGGAAGTCGCTCAGGCTATCAAATGAGGCTCGCGGTACGAAATCAACCGGCGACATCGTCAATCTTATGGCTGTGGACAGTCAGCGCCTACAAGATATAACGCAGTTCAGCTAACATTTATAGTCAACACCATTACAGATCATTTTATGTATGGCGTCCCTCTACAGTCTCTGAGAGCACAGCATATTCACCGGCGTTGCATTAATAATTGTCACGATTCCTATTAATAGAAGTATTACGAAGTCTATGAAATTCCTTTAGGAGTAATAGATGAAGAATAAAGATACAAGATCGAAGCTTACTGCTGAAGTCATCGCTAACATAAAGTCTATCAAGCTCTTCGCATGGGGCTCTGCATTCGCAAACCGAATCGGTCATATCCGCAACGACAAGGAGCTTGTTACTCTGCGAAAGACTGGCGCACTTTAAGCAGTATCCAGTTTTATTGGCTCGGTAACTCCTTTCTTGGTGGCCTATTCGGCCTTTGCAGTGCGAGTTCTGGTTCAACGCCAACCACTGACGACCGAAATCGTCTTCCCTGCTATTGCCCTGTTTCAACTATTGACTTCGCCTCTGATGATCCTGCCCGCTGCGATCTCTTCTATTACTGAAGCTAATGTTGCTGTAAACCGTCTGGCGGCTTTTTTCACTACAGATAAGCTCCAACCAGACGCAGTCATTCGCGAAGAGGCTGTCACGGTATCAGGCGAGGAATCAGTCAGTATCCACGATGCAACATTCAAATAGAGCATGCACGGAACCGGAACAGCATTGCAAGATATCAACCTTTCCGCCCACAGGGGAGAATTATGCTGTCTCGTTGGCTGTGTCGGAGCCGGAAAATCTTCTATCCTCCACGCCCTCCTCGGAGATCTATACAAGGCCACTGGCACTGTCACTCTTCGAGGCTCGGTTGCCTACGTTGCGCAGCAGCCGTGGGTATTAAACGCGAGCGTCAGAGATAATATCACTTTTGGCAAGCTATGGGACCCTGATTTCTACGTAGAGACGGTAAAGGCTTGTGCCTTAATAGATGATCTGGCCCAACTACCAAACGGAGATCAAACTGAGGTTGGCGATAAAGGCATCACATTAAGTGGGGGATAAAAGGCGCAGTTAACCTTAGCCAGGGCTGTCTACGCCAGGGCAGATATCAATCTCCTAGATAATTGTCTGTCAGCTGTGGATCAGCACGTTGGGAGACACTTGATAGAAGAGGTGTTCAGCCGACGGGGTCTTCTCAAGAACAGGACCAGAATCCTAGCCACAAATTCGACCCCAGTCTTATTGGAGGCTAATTCCATCGTCCTGATTCGCAATAGAAAGATCTCGGAGCAGGGCATATACAATCAACTAAAAGCCAAAGGGGGAGACTTTGTTAGCCTTATCGGACATGCGAATAACTCGAACCAAATCGTGACAGAGTCGACTACTACGAGGCCCTCTTATGCAGAAGAAGGCACTACCAATAATCAGCAGCAACTTGGTCACGACAAAACATCCAAGGCCACGGGGATGCTTACTCCAGGGCAAAGTTCAGCCGTCGACGGTAATACTAGTATTCCCGCAAACATCGATCCTAGGAGGATAATTCTAGATGTTGAGGCAGCCATCAGCAAGCCCAAAAGATGCAAGGAACTCACTCAGCAGGGAAGTGTCAAGTGGAAGGTCTATGGTGACTACGCCAAGGCAAGCAGTCTCTGGGCCGTGGCCTTGTACGCGGTTACGCTCGTAGGAGCTCAAGTCGCTGAGATTGGTAAGTCATCGGATCTGAGCCTGGCAAACGTTATGATCATGGTTGTATGGTGGTGGTGGTTGCTGCTGAATAGATGCGCTAACAATTACCAGGTGGAAACGTCTGGCTGAAGCAGTGGTCTGAGGCTAATGACGACCCTAACGCTGATGCGGATGTTAAGAAGTACCTCGGCATTTATGTCGCTTTTTGACTCGGCTCAGCTGGCTTGGTCATCTTGCAGTTATCAATATTATGGCTATGGTGTTCGATCGAGGTGAGTAAAAGTTCTAAGTTCCAGAGGTATCGCGCCTGTATTCGGAAATCCTGGCTGATACTTTATCGTGGCTACAGGCCTCTCATAAACTTCATAAAAGTATAATAATTACTATCTTAAGAGCTCCAATAACCTTCTTCGAGATAACGCCGACAGGTCAAATTCTTAATTGATTCTCCAGGTAAGTGTCTATTTACTGGCTTATTCTTCGTCTACCAGGCTGGAGTCTCCTTAATTTTCCTCTGGATGCTTATAGTATCTCTCTAGTAATATATACTGCATCGACCAGTCGCTTCCTCGTCAATTCAATACGCTATTCATCAATACCGTCAAGGCTCTCTTCAGCCTCGCCGTCATCTCCTCCAGAACGCCTGCGTTTATCCTCTTGGCTATCCCTCTTATCTTCGTATACAGTTACATACAGCAATACTACCTGGGAGCAAAGCGAGAGTTGAAATGCCTAGATGGAGTTAGTCGCAATCCTATATTCGCTTACTTCTAAGAGTCCCTTGGTAGTCTTACGACGATCCGGGCATATTCTTACTAAGAATGATTCTCCCTTGAGAGTAAAAGACGTTTAGATGCAAACATAAAGGTATATATCCTATCCATTACTGCAAACCGGTGGTTGGGTATGCAGTTGGAATTTATTGGATCGATTATTATTCTCTCCGCTGCCGGACTTACTCTTGCCTGCTTGTCCCTGGGTAGCTATTTATCTGCAGGTATAGTTAGTTTGATAATATCTTATATACTGTCAGTTTTATCCCCGAAGTCCTTAAATAGCTTTTCTTCCCCATACTGACTCTATTATAGGCAAATTACGCAGTCTCTTAATTCTCTTATTCGAGCTACTGGAGAGGTCGAGATAAATATCGTCTCAGCTAAGCGTGTGCTAGAGTATACCCATCTACCTAGCGAGGCGCTGGATGTCATTCCAAATCATCGCCCCGGTATTAGCTGGCCTTCTAGGGGTTCTGTGAGTTTTATTGATTATAGTATGCGTTATCGACCTGAGCTGGGCTTGGTTCTGAGAAACCTTAACCTTAATTTCAAGCTTGGTGAGAATATTAGTATAGTAGGCTACACCGGTGCAGGTAAAAGCTCTCTGGCCCTGGCCGTTTTCAGGATTATTAAGCCACTGAATGGAAGTATTTATATTGACGATATTGACATCTCGAAAATCGGTCTCTTGGACCTGTAGCAGCGACTCACAGTCATCCCCTAAGATCCTGCGCTATTTAAAGGAACTGTTCGCGAGAATCTCGATCCCGGAGAGGAGCATGATAATATGGAGCTTTGGACTGCCCTTAGTATGTTCTGTCTTCTGCACTTTATTGAAGTTACTTGTTAACTGCGAGATAAGGGCTTGCACGACTGAAAGAATATGTAACCAGTATGACCGGTAGATTAGATGCTAAGATCTATAAAGAAGGTAATACTGATACAACTAATACTTCTTGAAGGCAGGCAGACAGACTCGCCAATACTAATATTAATCAGGATCTAATCTTAGCCAGGGCTAGAAACAGCTTGTATCTTTGGCCTATACCATGCTCAAACCCACGAGCATTCTTGTGCTAGATAAAGCGACCGTAAGCAAGACCTGCCCTTAATGAGCGTGATCTTATCGGCATCACTAATCACTGTTACTATCTTTACCGAAAATACTATAGCTTGGATGAGCTAACTTGAGATTCAGGCTGCTGTGGATATAGAAATAGATATGCACCTCCAGGAAATACTCCGTGAGAGCATCTTCAGCAACCGGACTGTTATTACAATCGCGCATCGGATTAATACAATCATCGACTCTGACCGTATTGTGGTTCTTGAAAAGGGCGAGGCCGTTGAGTTCGACACTCCTGCGACACTGATGCTACAGAAGGGAGCTTTCTATCAACTTGTCAAGGAGGCCGGGCTTTTGGAGAGGCTAGGATGATAGAGTGAGATCCCTGCATTTTGCTCCTTTTGATGCCTCGATATCGGTCCGTATGGATGGATATATAGATTTTATTTCACCTGGGATTATTCCTAGTCCCTAGGATAGCAGAATTTATTTCCATGAATTGAACGTATAGGCACTTGACGCTCCAATTGACCGACTTGCGGAGCCGGCTGGCTGAGGTTGGTAGCCAGGCATGCTGGTGGGCTGCAGATTGCTGTGCGCGCTGTGGATCAAAAAAGGTGGCGCAGGGGAAAAAAAGGTGGCGCAGGGATCGTGGTGAAGCGGTTGTGGTGCAGGCGGCTCGCACGGACCATTTAGTGGCCCGAGCTTAATTTTTGGACCGCCAGGAGGGCACGGAAGGAAGAACCTTTCGGAACAAGTTCCTCAAGGCAAACACCAAAAGGGGGAAATCAGGGTCGGGTTCGGATTAATGTGTTCTGCCTATTGTATGTTGATATCCTTTATAGCGTGAGCGCTTCAGCGCAGAGTGCTCGTATAAGACTCGATACAGCTCCAACTTAAGCCTTCTATTTTATATCTATTGCCTTCTGTCACCAACCCTTCATCACGCTGGCGCTTCAGAGACGCTGCTCCTCGCCAACGCAGGTAGATAAGGGACCACATGACGGTCCTATAAGCCCCATAGAGAGCACTTACACCTACACATCCAGAGAGGAAGTCATTCATGCCTTTGCTGTAGAATGGTTGGGGAATGAATGTTGTATATATGAACTTGGCGACCGCCCTTGTGAATTCAGAATATTAGATGATTAGAAGTTCTTATAGATGCCAGCTAGCCAGACTTGAGAAATGGATAGCCAGTCTGCGAGCTTCGCGATGGACCCGGCTGAGGAGGCTGCAGAGCGGGACGAGGTGCAACTGTAACTGATCGTGCAATGCGACGACAGCTATCTCCCGGGCACTTGAACGCGGACTGCGTTGCCACTTAGACCTGGTCTCATGAGAGTTGAAGCTCGACGTGAAGCTTGTGGCGACGAGGCTCTCTTGAGCAGCCGCCGTCCCTGCTAGAGACGTTTTGGCGTTCGCAGCCTCGATGAAGTTGTCTCAGTGCCGTTAAGCCAAGTCCCTGGAGTTTCTGAATACGGTAGCTCTGCGCTGAAAGGTATCGATATTGCCGGTATTCCCCAAGTGTCAATCTGGGTCATGTGGTAGTCTTGGCGGTCCCCATCCGTGGTCGGCGCGGTGACGTGGTGGGCGTATATCTGAAGAGTGCCGGTTCCGGCGTGGTAGGTCGAGCTGCGAGACGGTGGCTGGCTTGATATATCATAGACGCTAGCATCTACACGTTGTTTTCTTGCTTCGTGTCTCCATGCCCATCCTGAGCCTGAGCAGCCATCACCTCTTCAAGGTGGCTAGCTGGCATCAACTCACCAGCCTTCTTCCCATCTCGCAAATTCTGGTTAGCGTCATTATCAACGTTGCTAGAGCTTGGTACGGCAGATGATGGATATGGTATATTTTCCCGGAGGGGGTGTTCGCTGCCAGTATTCACGGTGCCGATGTTAGAGGGTTTATTAGACTGCGAGAGGGCAAAGTCACCCGAATCGAAATACTTTCTTCCCTGGTATCAATGGCTGAATTAGCTTGATTCTAGCCGGCTAGCAGTACTCAAGAGTATTTCTCTACCTCTAACTGGTGATGGAGAAGGTTTCCTCCGGTCGGTATCGTTCCGTACCTCCGCAGGAGGCGCTTATCCTTTTCGGTAGGGAGCTCAGCGTTTTTTGGGGGATCCATATCTGCAATCTCGTGTGTGAGTTAGAAATTATTACAGGAAAGCGATAACGAGGCAGGCCCTTTTAAGCACACTAGGAGGCAACCGTCATCCTTACGTAAGACCCCGCAATATCCTGGAGACACATGACGGAAAAGGTAGGAGTTAATACTAGCAGATTATGCATTACAAGCGGATGCGTGGCGCAGATGACGCGTGTCAACGGGAGCCATCATGGTACAAACTGTGAACTTTAATCTGGGGAGCTCTGATCTGGTTTCTCCCACACCTACCTCCCACCGAGTATAATATACTTTTCCGTTTTTCCGTGTGGCACGTTTCTATAATCACCATCCGCTAGTAATCACGAATATCGCACGAGATTCGTCATCTCGAGTCTGAGTACTGCCCTTACGGACGGCAGATATGCCCAAAGTTTATCCTCGATTCGAGGGGGGATCCGACTGATGATATAGTTGAAGAGACTCTACGGCCCCAACACATGCGGGAGGATTACGGGTATAAAGTACTGACGAAAGATGTGAGATTCCGTAGTTTGAAATGAAAATAATCATCTAGATCTAGTTGTCACATGATACCTAGTCAATCTTTCTCCTCCTTGTGATCCCCAACTTAACGAACACACGGTTTAGCTTCCGTGCGAATTTCTATCTCTCAAGAACGTTTTCGTTTGGTTCCCGCCCGAGCGCCATTGGTTGGCCGAATCGAGTTGGCTAAAGTGATTGTGCTTTGCGACGGTCCTGAAGCTAGTGTAGCCGTGGCCGAAGATGTCAAGGCCGTGGCCTGGGCTGTCCTTCGACAATGAAGGTGACGACTCATCTGGTTTTCCGAGTGGCATCCTCTAAACTCGACCTCTTTGGCGAGCTGTTTAGCAGGTAAACTCTCTTTAGGGCGTACTCCCTCATTATATGCAGTTTCATTTCCACACTCCGCCGTCTCTAAAGTATTGGAATTGGGCATCGTCGACGTGTCATCACCAGGTCGCGTCATTTCTTCGCCACGGTCGACATGTGAGCTAGATTCTTGAGGTGGAAAACGCGCAGGCTCTGAAAAGGAAAAGAGCACCGCTCGGGCCACGGTATTCACGGATTCATCCCGCTCAACAGGCCGGTCTCTCGCTGGAGTGCCGGATAAGCCGGGCGGGAGTATCGAGGATAACGGAGAGGGCCACCACCTTGTGCCGCCAGGGTCGTACGTTCTGGTGCGCTCATACTCCTTGTCTGGTAAATGGGGCATGGGCTCAGTGTTGTTGGTGACAGGAGTAGTGGTATGACACAACGGATGCCAAAGGTGGTCGGTGGGGAGGTAAGAAGCGAAGTAGCGAATAAGGGAGTCGAAGGAATGTGTACGAAAGAGTTGGACAGCATGTTGCCACTGAGGCGAACTGATAAGACTTGGGTTTGCGATGATCTCCAGACTCGCAGATTCAAAAGCGTCGTTCAATTCGCGGAGGCGTTGTTGCCTGCGATTATTGGCCAAATGATGAAATTCGGTAGCGGAGTTGGCCTCGTGGGAGATTTCGGAGATATCGTGGTGGAAGGCATCAGGGTCTTGAATGGGGGATGGATAGGTGTTATACTGGTCGTGAAGCTTGGTAAATAAGTCCCCTCTCTTCATGTCGAACTTCCAGGCTGGCCATGCCCAGGATGGGTCATCCATATCATACGGATCACGTGTTATATTGATAAGATTTGCGCGAGGTTGAATAGCAAGCTTGTAAATGGCAGGATAGTTGAAAATATAACTACAACCAGAGAGGATGAGAGGGAAATCTTTGCGAGAGAAAGTGGACATGGGCGTAGCAACTTTTGGCTGTGGCTGCGCGTCGATCCACATTGCCTGGCCTAAATCAGGTTCTCAAGACAGCCCTAGCATCGATACATGAAATGGAGCAGCGACTAGGTTACAAATCAAATAGCACTAAGGAGCAAGGCCTACGTCACGGCTTGGCAACCTGCTCGCACCACCATCGAGGCTTTGGTTCTGATCGGAGATGCAAGCCAAGCCACGCTAAGCCTTTTTGCTGCGACGGCCTCCATCCCACCACACCTTCCCAATCCTGGGAGTCACCAAGGGAGCATATCCATGCGCACAAGCGATATTCATCTAAGAGTGACGTCATGAGAAAGTAACACAGTCACATCAAGCACCCTTCAATCTCCTTTTTGAGCAGAGATCGGCTCCTCCAACCTAAGAATCAGCTACCTTCTGCCACCGCGACTTGGGTGGCAAGGCAATGTTCACGCGGAGTTTGAATGCAGCTAAGTTACGCCAAGGCCACTGCCTAAAGCACTAGAGTGCAAGAGCTACTCCGGTAATAATGTGGTTATTCGACAAGTCTTAACGATGTATATCCTCTGACATATGAAGGGTAAAAAATCGAGTGTTAAAAAGCTAGGATATCCAAGTCTGGACGTCGTTATAGTGCATCTACAATTTTCCAGGGCCATTGAAAACTGTATCATTGTGCCATAACTACCCCACAGGCCCCTCATACAGTCATCTGCCCATACTACCGGAACAGACAGCTTGCAATAAGACGGGACAACTTTGTTGATGACCTAATAGGTATTTACAATCCTTCAGCGCGCCAACCAACGACTAACAATATGCCATTTCATAGGCTCTACTGATCGCCTGCTTACGGCTCTTTGGCCTTGTCCTACCGCGGCTCCTGTAGGGACTCCCCACCTGATCCCCCTTAGGGCTTATATAGAAAGGATATTACGAACATCCAGCGCGACGTATGCTACCCTTCTGGCGGCTTGCTATTACCTCAACCTACTGCATATATCCCTCGAACTAAATCCTGTCGCCGCTCAATCACAAAGACCGGCGAAGACGGGGCCTATACAATGCCCGCGACGCATGTTTACTTCCGCACTTATGTTAGGTTGGAAGTATACCCAGGAAAAGAGTTAGAGTCGTGCTATTCATATAACCCCTTATTGCTAGTTGAATAACTATCACGTGAGAATTCGCTATTTCACTTAGATTTCCTTACCTTCTCCTTTCCACACCAAAATTACTATAATAGCAAGAGGCGCCCTCAAATCATAGGAAAATCCCTCACAGCCTGACCACAATCTCATCTTATAGGGACGACTGAGTAGCTAGAATAAAGCTATTGCCAGACGGCGTTAGTATTGCCGAGGGCCTCGAGCTAGCCTGCATTCCCCTTTCTTATCTGCTTCCTATTTTCTTTATATATAATCTTATACTAGCTTATAATCGAGTTGAGGATTGTATTAAAGGTTATATTAAGATTTATATCTATAATAGTATTAAGGCTTATATGTGACGGTCGGGTCTAACCTAAGGGTATAGAGTAGGTCTGAGGCGTGTGGTATATAATCGAGTGGATTAGGATGTTATAGTAAGCAATATAGGTTACAGTTTAGTAATAGTAGAATAGTAGATTTAATATAACTAAGTATATTAATAGCTAGTGAGGCTATCTATTTATAAAAGTACTAAATAAATATCTATATACTAGTAGTGCTTATACGGGCTTACTAGATAAGAGTAAGTTTAATCTTATAGCTTATTTTAGGGAAGTAAGTTATATATTTAGGCTTACTTATATAGAGTGAGTTTGGGATTTATATTAGGTAAAAAAGTAGGTATATTATAGTTCTGCTAGTTATAACTATCTGGTTTTAATTTAGGCTGTAATATTATTTAGTTTTTTTAGCTTTACTTAATATTATTAAATAGATTAAAGTTATATAATAATCTTAAATAATAGGAATAAATAATAAGTATTTTACTTAGTATTAGAAGAAATAGTAATTAAATAATAAGGTTATTACTTATTAATTTCTACTTAAAGTTTTTATTTAATTTTTTTAACTTTAACTTTATTATTTATAGTTAATAATCTTACTATTTATAGTTAATAACCTTAAGATAGTAATTTTATTTTAAGTAATAGAATATAAGGGAGATATCTCTTATTATTAAGAAATTAACTTTTCTTTTAATATTTATCTTATTATAACTAATTTTTAATATAGTGAATTTTACTTAAGTAGCTCTTTCTAGGGATAACTTATTATATTTATATTATAAATTCTAACTTTAATATAATCTTAGATTCTCTTAAAATTTAAAAGATAAATTAAAAAAATAGAAGTTAAATTTCCTCTTAAGCTTTCTTAAAAAAGAAAATCTATTTAAGCTATTACTATACTATCTATAATATCTAAATAGAAGCTAATAGATTATATTAGCTATTTTTAGATATTATTTACTTTTTAATAATAGGATTAAAGTTAATAGATAAGGAAATTAAATTCTTATTTATAATCTTATTCTATATATTTAAATAGAAATAGCTATATTTTATAATTTAGTTAAAAATATTAATAATTCCAATTTAAGAAGTTAAATCTTTCTTTAGAATATTACTAGAGCTTAATATAACTTCTAGTTTTAAAAGTTATTATATTATATTAAGTTAGTATAAATACTAGCTATATAAAATACTAGTTAGAGAGGGGATTTAAATAAGAGTTATTATAGGTATTAGAAATCTTAGAATATTAAGTTAGATTATAGAAGTTTTTAGTATATTTATTAAGATTAAAATTAAAAACATTAGATAGAATTTTAATAGAAAAGAAAAAAGTAGCTTAAAATTTAAAATTTAAGCTTTAATAATTATAATATATATATAATAAAAATACAGTAAATTTAAATACTAAGTTTTCTTATTAAGAGGGGCTATAATATTATAATAATAATAATTTTAATTTAATTTTAGCTTATATATAATTTTAGTAGATATTTATAATTATTTACTATATATTATTAAAGCTATTAATTTTATTTATTATTCTTAAAGTTAATAATAATAAAATTAGTAATTATAATAATATTAATAATATAATTATAATATTATTATTATTATATAGAAATTATAAATTTAAAGAAATTATAATCTTTTTATTTATTATAGTATAAAATTAACTATAAAAACTTTAAGTAATATAAAAATCTTAAATTTAAAAAAGTAGCTATTTAAAATTTTAAAAAGTAGAAATTAATAAAGTTTATATATAAAGAAGTAAGTTTTTTATTAAATACTTCTTAAGCTATTAATATAAATAAATATTCTACTTTTAAATACTTTTATTAATCTTAAGCTACCTTAAAATTTAATAAGTATATAAAAGAGTAAATTGCTATTTAAACTTATTTATATATATAAATAGAGGCTTTAAGTATAAATTCTTTTAAATATAATATACTATTATTAACATACTTAATAAGCAAGTATCTCAGATAAGTAAGTATCTTAAAAATCCCTCAACCTTTATTATTACCATTTAATCAATTAATTCCCAACCACCCAGTATATTATAGTCTAATTATAAAGCTAGAATGCTTCTTACTCTTTATGCCCTTTAAAATAACCCGAATTTAAATCTTCAGAGCGCTATAAGTATATATACAGTCTCCTAGAAGACCCTTAGCTGCTAGTAGAAGGGCATCCAATCTCAATATAATACTATCTAGAAATTACATTAGCTATCTAATTTAGAGGAATAGATTCTTATTTACTTTATTTTTAACCTAGATTTATAAGAATTTCCCCCCTGGCTATATAATATTAAAAATATAGCTAATTAATTGCTTACCGACTGCAATATACTATTAGTTGGTATATATTAAGCTTATAATTTTATTAAGTAGCATCTAGATCTTAAAATATATTTTTTTTATAAATATAACTACTAGAGAGCTAAATATAAAAATCTAATTATTATTTATAATTAATTTCAACTTATAGTAAATATAATTATAAAGTATAGTATTTAATTAAATAATATCTATAATTTTAATAAGACTGGCTTTCTTATAGGTATAATTATAAGTAGAATAATTATTATAGGTATAAAAAGGCATTTAAAGTTAAAATTAGTATAGCTTAAAAACTAGAAATAAATTATAATTATTTAAGCAATTAATATAAAAGGCTAGGCAATCTAGCTATTTATTATTAATATAAGCTAATATTACCTTACTAATTAATATTAAAAAAGTAACTTTCTAGGCAATTAGGCTATTATAATAACTTAAAATAGCTAGATTAATAATAAGATTAATCTTAAGTAGCTTAAATACTTTAATTAGTATATAACTAATTAATTAATTAGTTTCTATTATTTTTTAATTTTTAATAGCTATAAAAGTTACTACTCTATTAAATTTAAGAAATATTATAAGAAAAAGAAGATTATCTAGCTTTATATACTATCTTATTCCTCTTATTTACTTTAGCTTCTTAATATTAAGTATTTTAATATATTAAAAAAGACTTATAATTAAAAAATAAAATATTTAATTAGATATTTTATAACCTATATTTTAAAGACTAAGTTCTTTCCAGCCTTTTATACTATATATAAAGCTACTATAATAAAAAGAAATATTAAGAGGGCTTTTAAAGAAGCTAGTCTTATTCCTCTTAACCTAGAAATTATAATCTTAAAGCTTAATATTTAGCTACAGATACCAATATTAGTTAAGAAGGCAGCTAAGCTATTAACCCCTTGGCTTTAAGGATTCTAAAGATTGTAATTAAGGCTAGATCTTAGTCTAAATACCTCAAAAGGCAGATTAAAAGATATTAAAGTAGCTCTCCAGAGTTAATTTTAAAAGCTCTATAATCTCTTACAAAAAAGATAAAGGCAGTTATATATTAAGTTGCCTTATTAACTACTAAGAATAAAAACCTTTAAGAGGTAAATAAGATACTAAGCTAGCGCTAGAGGGTAAAAAAAACTAGATTATAAAGAAGAGGGGTTATAATAGTAGAAGAAGGAAGGCAAGCAATTAATTAAATAGATATAGATATATAGGTAGTAGCTAAATCGTCGAGGAGTAGTAGTCGAGGAAGGTCAGTTAGATTAGATATTTAGCGCTATGGTATATATAGTAAGCCTGGCTATAATGCAAGGACCTATTAGGTAGTAATTAAGATATCTAGGGAAGAATATAGTAAGTAGTTTTAATTAATTAAATAGTTTGTGGTATTTTTATTATAATTTCTATTTTAAGAGTTGGGATTTTTAAGATACTTATTTATTTGAGATATTTATTTATTAAGTATATTATAAGATAAATTTAATAAGTTATTAAATTAATAGTAATATAAGAAATTTAGATATTAATATTATAAAGCTATTTATAATAGAGGAATTTAATCTGGATATATATATTTATATTTATAGCTTATTAAATATAATCTTACTTTTTCTCTTTAAGTATTTATTTAAGAAATTAATAAAGAGTAAGAAAATTACCTATATTAATTACTAAAAATAACTTTATATTTTTATATATAATCTTTATAAAGCTATTAACTCTCTAGCTAAAATTATAATAGTTATTAATATAATACTTTACTTATTAAAACTATTAAACTATATATTTCTTAGAGATATAACTAAGAATATAATATTAAAAAGAATATATATTATTAAGCCTTTTTTATTAAGCTTTAAATTTAGCTTCTATAGAAATATAAATAATATATTTCTATATCTTAAATATCCCTTTATAGCTATATATATTATTAAGGGGTAATAAGAGCTATAATACTAGGTATTTAAGGTTAGGTTTATCTTCTTATAGAATATTAAAAGATAATATAATTATATTTATAATTTCTAAGGTATTATTAACTTTAAAGCTATTAACTTTAAGATTTTTAAGATTATTAAGATTATTAAAATTCTACTATAATTTAATCTTTACCTTTATATTAATATTAATATACTAGATATATAATTACTGCTATATAGCTAGAAAAACCTAATTAAAAGCATTTTTAAGAGTTTTTTCTTTATTTATAATAACTATAAAAAGAGTTAGAAGATAAAGCTCTTTTAGTATATATTAAGCTACTAATAAAGCTAAAAATAGGCCTCTTTCTTCTTATTATTAATAAGGCTAAATATAAAGTTAACTATAAATTACTAGTTTAATATTTTAATTACTTAAAAGAAGAATATCTTAAAGTAGTTAATCTTATATATATTATTAAGACTAAGAACCTTAGGAAAATACTTCTATTAAATCTTATACTAAAGATAAGTTTAAAGAACTGCCTAAATATAATTCTTATTATTATCTTTATATTTAATAAAATACTACAAATTATATAATTATAAAATAGAAATTTAAAACTAAGTTGTAATTAGGCTATTAAAAGTCTATTACTAGAGGTATTAATAGTTATTATAGATATCTTTTTACGTAAAATAGCTTGGTATTAATATTAAAAAGTAAAGAATTTTATTTATTTTTTAGATAGAAAGAGAATTTATCTAAATAAGTAACTATATAAAGATATACTATACTTAAGTCCTTTTTTAATAGATAAGGTAAATAGAGGGGTTATAAGAGGTAGGGTAGTTATAATAGCTCTTAGGTTAATAGATTTAAAGATTATTTATAGCCAAGCTAGATTTTACTATAATCTTAAATAGGCAGTTAATTTTCCTCTTCTTTAGCTATTAAAGCCCTATAAACCGAGGCTCTTATAAAGCCAGGCTGCAATTGCAGCTAAGGGAGACATATTATAGTTATAGGATTTCGGTGGCATCTAGCTTCTTTATAGCAGCCGTCTTAATAAGGGCAGCGCCCTTATTAAGATAGAAATCTTAAAGAAAGGTAAAGAGGTTATTAAATATATTAAAAGTTAGCAATTTAAGTAACAGAGGAATTTATATTAAGGGATTTTCTGCTATACTTAGTGGTAAAGACTTCTTATCTATAAAGGGGTCGATCTCGCTCTGTAATATATTGGAAAATTTGTTAATTGTTATAAAATTAGGATTATTAATAAAAAAAAACTTATTTTTACAATCTATTATAAAAAAGCAATTAAAATTAGTATATTAGTAGTATTATAGAGGAGTATTATAATTACAATAAATAGTATAATATAAAGAGGGAGGAAATTAGGCTATAGAAGGATTTTCCTAATTATATAATACTATATATACAAAAAGTTATTTAACTAGTAATAAGGGGTTATATAAATACCTATTGATATTGTGGGGCTTGTAAGTATGCTAACCTCTACGAGGTTAGTTATAAAAACCTAGTTTAGCTATATTATTCTAGTTTACTTTTTATACTGAAAATACCTCTTTTTAACTTTTTATTCTAGCTTTAATTTAAGTAAATAAAATCTCTAGAAAATAAATATAAATAGAGGTAGTTTAGGGCTAAAAAATAAACTTACTTTAAGTAAATTTTATTTAGGTATATTTTAAAAGTTTAAAAATAAGATATAAAAAAATCTTAAATACTAAAACAGCTAATAGTTATATAAAATTCTAAAAGTATATTTATTTTAAAGCTCTAAATTATATCTATTTAGTAATATTTTTAAAGATTTTATATATTAAAATTAAAGCTAGAATAGAAAGATAAAAAGAGATATTTTTAGTATAAAAGGTAGACCAGAATAATATAGCTGGACCAGGTTTTTATAACCAACCTCGTAGAGGTTGGCATGCTTGCAAGCCCCACAATGCCAACGGGTAGCACGACTCTCAGTATTTTGGTGTAAGCAACTTTACCAAATATGGACCAAATGTGGCTTGATACAGTGTGTAGCTGGTGCTAATGGCTCCACGCGATCTGCAAGTTATAACAGTACGGTAGATACCTCAGGTACCAAGCGCACAACTTTTCGCCCTCTGGTAGGGAATATGTAGCAAGTTCCTAACTTACTTTCCTTCACTCATCTCAGAAGCCAGAAGCGGCTCATTACTGCTCGCAGCATATAATAGCTCCGCGACTCTCCCCCGAAAAGCAAGAGCAAATCCGTAATATGCTACTACGTGGAGACCCGATCGACGAAATTGCCGAATCTATTCCTTACACCGAACATACCGTCTACAGAATACAAGCGACCGTCAAACGATATAGGACGACGACAGTTCCTGCAAATTGCGTCGGCCCCGATCCCAAGATAACCCCGCTTATACGAGATGCACTGATATATTGGGGTTGCGCTCTAGGTACAGATAGCTGTATAGGATAATAGGCAAACATCTTCAATTGGCACCATAGTATACCGATAAGAGCATTTAAGCTTTATTATTATCGACGAGCTTGGGAGCCCCAAAAGACTGGACGCTTTAATACCCACAGGCGCCTCCAGTCTCATCGCACAACACTTGCCGAGATGCCACTGACAGCGATCCGTCCCCCTTTAACTTTAACAAAGTTATTCGGCACCACCGAGAGATCATCCTGCGTTAAAAGAACGACAAGGCCCCTGAGCTGCTGTCATACTTGCCGATAAAGCTGTTCTGGTCAAGCGCTATAGTAAAGATCAGGCTTAGCACAAACGTAAGTTCCATCCATCAAGTAATCGAGATTCGTGAAGGGTATATTACTAGCAATATATTTTACGTCTCCTGGATCTCCTTCAATTATCAGCATCACGGTTATAATAACTAATACTCGCAGTATTCCTTGACAACCCTCCTCTCGCGCTGGGCTCGCTTTATCCGGATCGGACTGCAGGACGAGGGACGAGATGCTGGATAAAGGCGGGGATAATCGCTGCCATAGTAGAGACACGCCTCTATACTTAGCCGCGGAGAACGGGGCGAGGTAATGGTTAAGTTGCTGCTCGAACAGGGGCGTAAGACTCGGTGGATTCTGTCGGTCGGATGACTGGCGAGACACTCCCATACCCTGTACTCCTGTAGGTCGCCGAATAGAAGCCAGTATAGTAGAAGTGTGATTACAGTATTCTGCTTCTGCCTACCTTCCGGCGTGTGAATTTCCCGTGGCCTTGACGTTAAGTCTGGGATTTTTCTCTTTTACCTGGTTCAGGCCGCCGCGCTGCGTGGCGCTACACACGGCTAGCCTCGGTCGCGTGGCCTCATCCGTCCAAGCAAGCGAGGCTCGCTTGGACTTCATAAGCAAGATAATACAAAGAGACGGACTTCTGGGTGGCCCGGATGCAGTCACCCCAGTTCATTCCCTCGACCAGGCGAAGGGTACGCAGATGGTATAAGAAAGACGCCAGGGGATTAATGCCCTGTCGCGAGACAAGGTTGATCGCGGAGGCTTGTCTTCTAAGCAAAATGCCAGCTCTGCTTCCTGCCACGCTTCCCGCCACGCTGGGGTCATCGAGCTTCTCGATCCTGGAACAGCACAATAAGTGGGAGGGGGTCGCGGATCGCAAACTTCCACTCCTTCGCCACCTTGTACACCAGGAGGAGGCCCAGAAGCGCGCAAAGCCATGACGTGGCTAAAGCGGGGTCCCGGCGAAAAGACGGTCCCCGCTGTTACGTATCTTTTGCAGATGGAGATGGCTGGATTGGTTTCTCTTGGCCAATCTTTGAATATGCATTGCGCATGGATAGAATGTTGAATATCATTCAGAAGAAATAGCTAGAATGGACCAAGCTGCACTTTTCCGCCCCAGTAGATTAGATGCTTTCCCCCCATCATCATCTTTATTGCGTCACTTGGAACTGCAATCATCGGACGACAAGCGCCAATCAACACATGTCGGGCAAGTGCCATGGGTAAAAACAAGCTTACTTGGAACTCCCAGTCTGTTCCTGTTTCATGAGGTCTTGCACCATGGCAAGCGTGTTGCGTAGTGCTACGTAAGACTGGGGTTCTTGACTCTCAACCTCAGAGACCCTCCCGTAACACCCGAGACCCGAGACCGGGATTCATTCTCTCCGGGTGCCGGCCGATCTCGCGTTGGAGAAGCGACCAGGGTTCTCTCCCACACCGTACACCTGTGCCAACTACAGACGAACCAGGCACCGACTTGCTACCCCGATCTCTTGGCATTGGTCCATGCTCAATGCCTGTAACGTATCCGTCCTGATCAGGGGTTCTGCGCTGACTAGCAACGCCCTTACCCGAGCTCCGGTAGGACCAGGGGATTGTACATGGTAGGTTAATGCACAGGCCCCCTTTGCCCCCCAGAAGATCAGACCGCCAAGTTTCACAAGACGGGACGACAGTGCATATGCCCTGGGGAGACAGGGAGTGCGGCTTGGATGGATGCTGGTGATGGAGCTATGGTGATGCATGGCCGGATGCCGGTTCGATGTTGATGGTACATGACGACCAAATCCCCGATGATGAGAGATCTGCCACACCGAACTTGCGACGGTTTCATCCGCGGCTGGCAGAAGTTCCGTGGAGAGGCGCGCTTGGCATTGACTTGGACCCCTCAGTGCAAACGAAAGAGCAACCTGATGGAATGGCAATGGGCATCAATCTCCTACTCGTCGAGCAAGTATAATATGCTCCCTTTGGCCTCGCTGTAAAGTCTTTTCTCTCATCATCCAACACACACTCTCCTCTTACCTTCTTACCTTCTTTTACTAGAGCTGGGCTCTTATTCCATTCACGACACCATATTCACTCATTTTCTGAATTGATTTCAGCTTTCTTTTGATTACCGATCCAACCTCTTTCACTCTCTTTACCGACAAGATGAAGACCCTCTCTATGCTCCTCATGACCGCTGGCCTGGTGTCGGCCGTCGCCGTCGACCTCCACCCGGCCGCCCAGCGCCGCTCCGAGCACGCTATCCGCGAGTTCAAGGTCATCAATGCGGCCCCAGCAGCAGCACCCGGTGCCCCCGAGGAGCCAGCCGCCACCGAGAACGCAGCCGCTGAGGAGACAGCCGCCCCCGAAGAGACCCCCGCCGAGGAAGAGGAGGCCGTGGAGGTCACTGAGACTCCCGCCGAGGCCGAGGAGACTCCCGCTGAGGCTGAGGAGACTCCCGCCGAGACTGAGGCACCCGCTGAGACCGAGGCACCCGCTGAGGAGGAGAACCAAGAGGAGAACCGTGGTGAGGAAGACAACGAAGACAACAACCTTGGCGGCGAGATCGAGAACATTGTCGCCAAGATGGGCATGCAGGACGTCATCCAACTCGGAAACATCCGCGAGGCCAGCTTTGCCGACCAGATCATCATCCTCATCCAGCTCCAGCAGATCCAGACCCTCCAGATCTTCAACCTCGTCAGCCGCAACGATATCATCATCATCCTCGTCAACGGCGGCATGAAGTTTGGTGCCGGCGTCAAGAGTAAGAATCTCACAACTTCGTTTTATTAACTCTCGCTAATCTTGATATCCAGTCATTGACGGTGGACGTGGCGGAGACGGTCGTGGCGGAGACGGTCGTGATGGTCGCCAGGGCGGAGACGGTCGCCAGGGAGACGGTCGCCAGCAGGGCCAGGGTGGTTTCCAGGTAATCTCCGGCGGCTTCAAGCACGTCATCCGTGCTTAAATGGGGACGCATTTAGATGCGAGCGCAGGAACTGGGGTCCATACGCGAGGGTTTGGGATACTTGGGACGGCGTAAGGCTGGAAGGCAGTGCCTACAGGAGCAGCCGGGTAATTCGGGTTATCTGTTGGTCTGAATGTAAACGAGCTAGTAAAGTTATTTGCTAGGTATTGGAATCATCTTCTTAACCCATAACTCAACTCAATGTCCACAGCCGATGAAGACCCAGTTTCAGTTTGGATTGGATGAATTGTGACTACTGCCGAGAATGCATGAGCGGCGTTGGAACTTCCCGAAGCCGAGTATCGCCTCTTGGCCTGGTGAGGCAACCAAAGATTCATGTCCCCACACTACGGCACGAGACAGCCTGGGATTCGTAGTTGGCATATAGACCTTGAAAGTCAAGTTGCATACCATCTGCAGCACGGAATGGCGTGCATCCGGCTCAAGATCAGGACCAGATCGCGAGCGTTACTGCGTTGGACACCAGGGTTGATAATGCGCCTTTGCACCCAGGTACGTACACAACCAAAATGGAGTCGATATGTCGTCAGTCTTGTTGTGACGTCATGATGGAGTGTTACTGACCCTACTGAATACTCATAGAAAATGGTCACCGATAGTCTCTCCTTACTGGAAGGGAACTGACTGCTCCGATTTCATCACGACAGACCACGTCCCCTCCTCGCCCAAGTTAATCAAAAACCTCATCGGAATATCGGAAGCTGCAGGTTCCCCCGAAGATGGAAGGTATCGAGACGCCGGATAAGAATTAGGGCACAGGCTTGGGCATGGGGAAATTGGGGCTTGTGACCTGTGGTCTTCCTTGGGGGATGTCCGCACTGGCTCCGATCGGACGGATCTAAGCAAGAAGAGCAGGTTCGCTGTACGTAGCCTGTTGCAGCGGACTAGCCGCGTGCTTGCACAAGGACCTTTCTGTTAGACAGGTCTGTTAAGACGTCCTTGGTCGATGGAGCAGAGTTCGCGGCGATGGCGCGCAGGGTTTCATCCGGCCTGACTTGAGTACTGTGTGTGTGTGTGTGTGTGTGTATAACCGGTAGAGATTCGCATAGCTTAGCACAGCCTAGCTAGTCGAGTACTATCAATAATCATAATTAAGAACCAGAGAGAAGATCCTTGGAAGCTATGACAAAAAATCTCAATCATTAATTCTATTTATTCTACTTTCAGTATTATTTCCTCATTTCCCAACTTGCTTCATGTCGAGTGCTCCCAGTTATCAGGTACTCTCAAGAGGACCAATTAGCATCGGCCACGGACATCATCGGGATCAACATAGCACGTTCCAACACCGTCCGCACACTGGAAACCGGCCTTGGCAATCTCCTTGCATGCGCTCTCCCATTCCTTTCCGGCGATCTGGTCTTCGGCAGTTGCTTGGGTGCACTACAACTGTTAAAAGAAGGCTTCCTGAGGTGTTTGGAATGTACTCACTCTTCCAGATGCAGTATCGTAGGAAGCGCCACCCCACTACTTGTAGTTAGAAATATGTCCTTGGCGTCTGTCGAGGTTGTCTTTCACATACCTTGTAGTTGGCATCGTTGTACATGGTGCATGCGTTTGTGGTAATTCGCCAGTTGTAGCTGTCGCCATTATCGCATGCGCAGTTATCATGGAGATCTGCCGCACTATGGAGATGTAAGCTCATCCCTTCTCAAGGAAGTTGAGAGTGGTAACTTACGCGAAAGCGAAGAAGAGAACGACGGAGAAGACTTTGGCAAGCATCTTGTTGATTTGACGGCGTGGTCTGGTTGGGAATGGATGAACAAACAAACGAGTGAACTGATTGGATAAATTAAGCGATAAACAAGAGAACGAATGGAAACGTCAATATTGAATTGACTGGATGCGATGTTAAAACGAGTGTTGGTGTGGGTGACAAGAAGCAAGAATAGACGGAACGTGCGGCGGCGATGGAAGCAATCAAGTCGGTTCTTCCGGAGAGGCCATTTCCTACTACGTAGTCCGCTATCCACAATACCTCATTGAAGTTTAATAAGTTGCCAAGACGGACGCATGAATCACAATGAAGATTACGGACGCCTTGAACAACGGGGCGGGTGACATTTTGGAGGCTGAGCAGTCGTCTTGGTGCGAATTTGGTAGTAAAGCCGACCTCGCCCAGCCCGAAGCTAAACTCTAAAATTCGCTAAATAAATGTCATCCGATCAGATGAGCCTCTGGAGCGTCCGGGAAAACTATAGGGTTACATATTCGCATGAAACCGTGCGGTGGGGAGCTCACGAGGCAATGGGTTCTGACAGGCCACCCACCGACCAACCCGTCCCCAATTTGGAACCCTTGTCTATTGTGAAACCCGGACACGTTCGATCCCGTGCAGTTCTCGCACGGGAAAGCCGTCTCTGGTGAACCATGGCTGACTCGATGTCACCGTTGATTGCCTTGTTGAGCCGCGTTGTGGATGAATTCGGAGGTGAGGTTGGATATGGGTACTGATAGTCCCTTTCATTCTATATGCCGGTGGCGTATTGTCTTGGCCCCGCATCAAACACCTCGTGCCATGGACAGCAGGCACCGCTTCAGCCGCCGTAGATAGGACTCTGAATACTTGGAGAATAGCCTTTAAGTTCGCTTGCTAATAATATAAACCCTACGAGACCCGCGGAAAGATTAGAAATAAAGATATATTAGTAGAAATTAGATACTATATAAGCTTTTATAATATTATAGTAAAATTTGGGAAATAAATATATATAATAGTAACTAGTATTCTATTAGTTATAAGCTATTGAGTATAATAAATTATATATATATATATATTAACTGGATTTATTTTCTAATATACTAATAGTAGGCTTATATTATTTAATTACTAACTGCTATATATTTCGGGATTGGGATATCGGATTTCTACTGTATTGAAGCTTTCTTCCTTTATTATAGGCGTCTATCGCTACCTGCCTCGTTACCGGCTTCGTCACCGACCTCGTCATAGTCCTAGCTTTTCCTTGATTTTATCAATAGCTAGCTGAAGCTAAAGACTCCGGACTATCCGGAGCCTCTCGGCCGTCCGAGGTTATCCGAGGTTATCTTCATCTATAAGACTGACCTAACAGACCTCTATTAGATAAGAAGAATACCAAGAGCTTCTCACACACATGATTCTATCTATCTGCTAGATGCAACACTAACTAGTAATAATATTTTTTAATTTTATATTTAAGATTTTATTTTATATTAAGAATCTGCTTTTTAAAAATATTAATTACTTAAAGAATATTAAGTTAGAAAGAATTAACTAACTATAGCTAAGTTAGTAGTTATAGTTTTAAATTTAGATTTTATAATCTTATATAATAACTATAAAATTATTAATACTATAACTTAATTATTTTTTTAATAATTATTTTAAAAAGAAATTATTATTTATTAAAATTAGTTATTAGTAATTTTTCTTACCGGGCAGGGGAGGTACTCTTCCCAGTAGCGCAGCTCGAGCAGGAAGCGGGGGATAGGTTTGAGGAATATTCGGCCGGTCGTCCAGACGAGATGCATGTCCATCCGCTCCGTGACGATGACAACTCGGTCGACCAGCAACGGCGGTGCAGCAGACGTGGCAGCATGGGTCGACCCGCAATCTAAGCCAGCCGTGAATACTGGTCCCGGCGCAAGTCGAGCTCCTTTTCGACGCAGGCCGTGATATGGTGAGCCAGGGCGGCCAGATTGTCGGACTCGGTGCGGTCCGACGCGGGCAAGAGCGACAGGAGTTGGTTGTTGTCGTGTCGACACGCGTCGGCGCCGTGGTTGTCCTTGTGCCCGAGAAATTGGATGGAGAAGGGAGGCGACTGTGAGCGGAATATTAGCTCAAACGCGGCCAGTGTGACGGAGAGCGCAAAGGGCAATACTCGATACTGCCGTCTTCCTATTCCGCCTCTGTTTCGAGAATCATCGGCTATCTCCAGAGCAGGGTTGTAAGAACCCGGTATTGACGACACTAGACAGTGTTATCTGTGGCAGGTTAGACGCGGGGTGTTTGGGGCACCACCTTACGGGCGCGCCGCTTGCGATTCTGTTCTGTAAGGATTCACCTTTGGCAGGATGATGGGTAGCACACATACTCCTTTACTGTATAAATTAGCAGGAGGGATAGTTGGATGCGGGAATGCCTGATTGCAGCCCTGCGCACTACTTCAGCTAATCTGCCCCCGTAATCTGACCTGGCTGGATCTGCCTAGCAGCCTCCACGTTTCCGAGCATATTTTCTATTCCATTTCCATTCCCTGCCTTTTTTTACTTCTCCCCCCTTATCCTGCTGACTGAATACCCAGTATAAGTATTACTCTTTAAATTACAGAGTTTACGAGTTTAATATTATACCCTACAATCCAACGCCTCTGCTACCCTGCTTAATATAACAGCCAGCAATAATTACAAGCATCTGTAACTAACATCGCAGAGCTTTAGTAGTGATAGGAATAGATTGGGTGCGATCCGGGCTAATCCTCATTCTAGCTGGCGTTGCTGGTGTCACGTACCTGTGGTTGTCGGCGAAAAAAGAGCAAACGCCACCGCTGCCCAAAGTCGTGCTGGAGCGTTCCGCTGATAAGTCGCCGCCAGAGAGGAAATAATAAATCGGACCATAGGCTGTGAGCTCTTAGCACCGCTCTCTTCAAATAACATTCAAATCCAGCAAAGTAAATTGAGCAAAGGTGCAAAGTCGAACCCACCTAATAATTGATGGTCTTCGGATAGCGCCGGGGCGCAGTCTCAGCCATCTGCAGCTCTCATAGGTGCCCGCATCAGCCTGGTCGTGGCAGAGCCTCATGTGATGGACGAGAGCCTTGTCAGCATTCATAGACAGCATTCTCAACGAGGACAATCTGTCCTTGACATCATGCACCTACCGTAACGTTGCTCGCTTAAGTGTCAATTCGTTATCGAATCCTGCCATGGCAGAAGTCGTGGCTGTCGTGGCCAGCGGGGCGGGTCTCGCGTCCCTTGCTCTGCAACTGGCGGAAGGGGTCAAACGACTGCGGCAACGTCACCGAAATGCAGCAGGACTCCTTGGTGACCTTTCAACATTGGTGGAAGACCTCGATTTGATCACTAAGCAGCTGAATGGCCTTGAAGCAGACACGCATGACATCCTGGAACAACAAATGGGACCGATCATCTTGGAGAGATGCCGTCGTCGTTCAGAGATTCTGACGGAACGACTGACAAAGCTCACGGCGAACATCCCAACCGGGCCATCAAGAATGAATGCTGTTCGTGCGGTAGTTCGATCGAAAAGGTGGAACACCGAACTTGAAGAGCTCCGAAACGCGGTTTCAGGTGTCCAGCTAGAACTCCTTCAGTACTGCATCCCAATCCAGCACGCACACGTGTGTTCTCAGTCGGCCTCGGATATTAATGTCTATAGGCTTTATTTAATCCACCAAAACATCGCCATGAAGAAGTTGCTTCGCATCGCGGATCCCGAGAACAGTGACGGGGACAGTTCACGCAACCCTGTCTCGCCAACTAGCGAGCGTCACGATGACGTTCTGCCCCGAATTTCGAATATCCCTCGGCATCGGTTTTCTCATTGTGCAGTCCGAAGTTGCCATTGTTCATGCCATATCACGCGTTCAGTAGGCGGCAGGTTTTGGCGCCTTCAGTACACCCCATTCGCCAACATTTTCAACACTTGCGACAATGCTAGGTGTTCGGTCCAACGTTACAGAGTCAACCTTCGAGCCGCGCTTTCACACTTTGGTGTGGGATGGGCAGTCGTATTTGGGCTTGACATGATGGTAGAGCCTGGGAAGTACTGGCTTCAACCGGTGTTGCAGGTTGAGAGAGTCGTCAATCGGACCGCACCGGGTTTCGTCATTCTAATGAAATTATCGGAAAACCTTTTGAAGTGGAACGAGGCTGAAATCCAGTTTAGAGAGCTTTACAGATCGGATCCGGCATTTGTGAATCAAGTCGACCCCCAGGGAAGGGGCTATCTCGAGGTCGGTATCTCATTCTTGTCTTGTTATTAATGTGGCTGACATCGATTCCATCTGCTCTAGAAAATTTTATCCTACGGAGGCTGGGGATGCTATGGCACTGAAATTGAGAGTCAGATTCGGTTACTACGTTTTCTTGTCGAAGAACTTCATTTGATCAAGGGGGTTGACAGCCCAAGGTGTGTTCACGTCTCTACCTATCCTTTATCGTGACAATGCTGAACCATCACATAGTCTCATGTACAACTGTGCGTCATTCAGTTCTACAAATCGCCATCTCGAAATTATTGAGGCTGTCACCTCTCTTGGATGTGACTTCAGCACAACTGCTTCTCCCAGCTTCGAGTCATGGCCGGAACCCTGCGTGCATGATCCAGAGTTGGCTTGTTTTGTCCGTATGATGCCAGAAGACCCGTTCTACCTGGAATACATGGGCATAATTCTTAAGTCAAACCCTGGTCAGACTAGCTAATGAGGCGTATGTGTACTTTTCTAATTTGAACTCAACGCAGATTTCGGGGACAGCCCGCCCATTCACAACGCGATTCTACACGGATCTAAAGAGGACTTTCGGGTGATCATCCAGAAAACCCAACCCTTGGAGGAAAACGTCAACTTTCTTGGGCAATCGCCCCTCCATATATCTGTGCGTTATCCAGAGCGCCTAGACATCCTCCTAGCTGCGGGTCACGATGCTAGTGTGCGCGACAAAAACGGCATCACTCCTTTGATGTATGCTGCGGCTATGAACATCTCAGAAGCAGTCACAGCTCTCATCAACCACGGCGCAGATCTATTCATGCGCGATAAGCTGAATGACTACGACTTCATCATGTACGCCGCAGTACGACATCATTGGTCCTTGGTTTGGTGTGCCATTGACTTGATCAGTTCGAATGACCGCAGCCTGCTGCCTAGGTTGTTTCCTAGCATCTTCCTTGCGTCTGGACGAGACTGCTTCCTCGCACATGACCCAAAAAGTCTCACAGAGGGTTGGAAGAAATATTGGCTGAAGGTTTTCTCCAAGGTGACTTCATTGGATATCTGCTTCGAAGACGGGGGCACCCTAATGCACGTTGTGGATAGCTGTCTGTTGGCAAATATGCTTGTTAATTCAGGCTTTGCGAAATTCAACCACAGGAACAACTTGGGCGAACACTCATTGTTTGCTATTGCTCGTTTTCTTGATCCGGTTTTGTTTCGGCAGTTCATCGCAAAGGGGGCACTGGTCAACATAACGAACAACCAGGGTCAAACTGTCCTCCACGGGTTGCTTGGTCTTCTACATGACCCAGAGAACCGCAAGAAAAAGGAGCTCCTCGAAATCCTGGACATTCTTCTTGATAGCGGAGCTAAGATCGGTATCAGAGACCATTGTTCCTGCAACTGTTCGCCTAGTGGCTGTCTCCCTGGTTCAAGCCTGGAATTCGATCTTGTGGAAATCTTGCATACGCAAGTTTACAATGGTTTCTGGGTCTTTGAATGGCTTCTCATTCTTGAAGAGCGAGGTCTTTTAGTGGAAGCTAAGGACTTTGCTTTATCCGTCTTCCGTCAGACATATTATAAAGAGGCAGGCTTTCGCCATGCCTGCTGCCGTTCCAATTCAGCCGGTGAACACGATGATACTGAAGAGGAGTTCTGGGATATCGGGAAGCAAATTCAATGGGAAGATTTGAGAGACAAGATGAGTGATTGGGCTGAACGAGATTACCAAGAAGTCAAGTATGGGTTAATGGTTCATCTGCAACAACGGCAGTCCGCAAAGAAGCGTGAGATGGAATCCGAGAAACAAAACCAGAGTGGCAGAAGACATGAAACATCGGCAAGTTATTACAAAAGATGATACTCTATCCCAGCCGGAGACTTAACCCATACTAATTCGCCGAGTTGCTCCAGGATTCTGACCTTGACAGCTGCGAGGAAATTCTAATCGATTACGAGAAAGACGAAATGTACACTGGCCTGGACCTCTTCCTCATGGGGCGTAAAACTTGGGGGGGCCTGAGTATTTGTTACGAAGACTACACAAAAGAGTTTCTTGAAGAATTCGTGGATGGATTGCGCAAGGCTAGGGGCGAGAAGTTCTCGACTCGGTTGCCTTTGATTGCTGAACTTTCAGCTGTTTTCAATGACTTCTGTTGACAATGACTTATCAGTAGTGTGTGGAAGAAGCGATCGGAATTTTTATAAATTGTAAATGCCGCCAGTACTGTACCAACTGGAAGTGAAGTTATTTAAGGTAGACAGATGCAAGGTGCAAAAGGCCTTATTGTCATAGCCATAAAAAGCCACCCTAGCACTCATTTTCCTCTACTTCACGGACAGCTTGCACCTTGGACTTCACTAGGCGCTTGTGATGCCCGTCTACCCCTAGATCCCATACAAAAGATTGAAGCTATGGAAGCCGAGGAAGAAAGATGCGACCGCCTTGCACCGCAGGAGAAGATTGCAGAGGACGGGGCACAGCTCCAGCGACAGTTGAGCCAAGATCCGACCATGACACTCCTTCTTCAGCGCTGCCAGCAGACACGCTACAACCTACTTCTGTGTGATGCATCGGAATGCCTTGAGGTTATAGAGCAAGGAAGGAATCGCCTGACAGCCACATTCAGGCACCGAATTCTCGTCGACGTTGCGTTTGGCGATTCCTACCACGTCCCTTGTCTCAAGGCTATGCTCGACCTACCGCGACTTGCCCGATCGCGATTCATGCTCGACACCAAACCCTACCGATGGAATCATAATGCGCCTTGGAGATGGGCTCTCTTGGTGGAGGCTGTCGCACAACAAGACCCCAGTAATAGCGGATTCTCTTGGAGCATCGTTCCACGGGTTCTTAGCCCTTGCTTTTCCGCCTCTCGACTTCTTCATTTGATGAATAGGCACTCGAACACGGCCGAGAAGAACAGGATATCATGATATAGAAGACTTATATTTACCCTAGAACCCCACTGTGATCGCCGGAGACTACTCGATTGCTCTTTAGTTATCCTCCACCCTCGCTAAGGGTGAAAACTCTCCTACGATATTACTTGCAGATAGAATTAACTCTCTCTTTCCAGCTATATTATATAGCAAGTTTATTATCTATAAATATCTAACTAGCTTAGTTATTAGTAGATTTATTTAGCTATTTCTATATAGTATATATTTGGTTTTTTTTATAGTCTTACTCAATATTATCAGATAGATCAAAGCCATATAGTAATCTCAAATAGTAGAAATAAATAATAAGGACTACACCCAGTACCAGAAGAAATAGTAGCTAAATAATAAGATTATTACCTACCAGTCTCTACTTAAAGCTTCTATTTAACCCCTCTAACTTCAACCCTATTATCTACAGTTAATAATCTTACTATCTATAGTTAATAACCTTAAGATAGTAATCTTATTTCGAGTAATAGGATATAAGAGAGATATCTCCTATTATTAAGAGACTAACTTCCCTTCTAATATTTATTCTATCTTAATAAATTTTATTTAAATAACTTATTACTATATTAACTATTAATTATAAGATTCTTATTATATATATTTCTATATATTAGGGATATAAATTTAGATTTTAATATAATATAAGATTTTATTAGAATCTTTAAGATAAAAGGGAAAAATATAAGCTAGATAATTATTTAAAATTTCTTAGAAAAAGAAACCTTTTAGACCTCTTATTATATTACCTAGAATATCTAAATAGAAATTAAAGAATTATATTAGCTATTTTTAAATATAGTTTATTTTTTAATAATAGAAATAGAATTAATTTATAGAGAAGTTAGGTTATTAATATTAATATTATATTTATTTAGATAGAAATAGGTATATTATATAACCTAGCTAATAATATTAAAAATACTAATAATAATAAAAGCTAAAAATTCTTTATAAAAATTAGCTATAAAAAATATAATTTCTAGTTTTAGAAGTTATTATATTATATTAGGCTAGTATAAATACTAGCTATTTAAAGTAGAAGGGGGGATTTAAATAAGGGATATTATAGATATTAGGAATTTTAGGGTATTTTAAAAATTAGGTTATGGGAGTTTTTAGTATATTTATTAAGGTTAGAATTGAAAAAGTTAGATAGAATTTTAATAAAGAAGAAAAAAGTAGCTTAAAATTTAAAATTTAAGCTTTAGTAACTATAATATATATATAATAAAAATATAGTAAATTTAAATACTAGGTTTTCTTATTAAGAGCTATATAATATATATTCTATATAAATTTTATTATTATTATAATAAATATATATAACTTAAAATTTATTTAAGCTAGCTTAAATATTTATTATTAATAAAATTATAATATATAAAATAAAAATAAAATATTTTATATAAAATAATTTTTATAATAAATATTAATAATTATATATAAATTTTTTTATTATATATATTATATATTATTATAATATAATTTAAATAAGATAAGTAAAATTTTATTTTTATATAAATTTTTTAACTTATTATATTATTATAATTAAAATTTTAAATATAAAATAAAATAAAATAAAATATTAATTTATTATTATTATTAATTTTAATAATTTTTTTTAAATTAAATTATAAAAATATTAAAAAATTTAAATTATTTATTATTAAAAATTATTAAATAAAAATTATTAATTTTAATATTAATATTATTTTAATAATTATTTTATAATATAAGTAAGTTTTAGGCTTTTTTAGTGTATTAAACTAACTTAATATCAGTTTTTATATAGTAGAATAATTTAATATTAAACTCTAAAAGTTATATTAACTTAATATTAAAGTTTTAATATAAATATACAATATATAAAATAAAAAGTTAATATAACTAAAGTTTATAAGCTTTAATCTTAATATAATTTCTATATTATTTTTTATCTCTTAATAAGAGAACTTAATATTTAAATTTACTGTATTTTTATTATATATATATTACAGTTACCAAGGCTCAAGTTTTGGGTTTCAAGCTGCTTTTTTCTTCTCTACCGGAATCCTATCTAACTTTTTCAACCCAGTCTAACCTTAATAAATATACTAAAAACTCCCACGACCCAACCTAACGCCCCGAGATCCCCAACGCCTATAGTATCCCAAGTCATTCGCAGTCGACATAGTAATAAGTTATTTAGATGAAATTTATTAAGATGGGATAAGTGTCAGAAGGGAAGTTAGTCCCTTAATAATGGGAGACGTCAGTCTCCCTTATATCCTATTACTCGGAATAAGATTACTATCTTAAGGTTATTAACTACAGATAGCAAGGTTGTTAACTACAGATAATAGGGTTAAAGTTAGAGGGGTTAAATAGAAGCTTTAGGCAGAGACTGATAGGTAATAACCTTATTATTTAGCTACTATTTCTTCTAGTATTGGGTATAGTTCTTATTATTTATTTCTACTATTTAAGATTACTATATAGCGTTAATTTATCTAATGATATTAAGTAAGATTATAAAAAAACTAAATAAAAATATCTTATATTAAAGTTTTAAAATAACTTCTTAAAAATAATTATATAAAATCTTAGAAAAATAATATTCTATTATTATACTATAGTAAATATATAAGTAAATTTTAGTTAATATTAATTAGATTTTAATAGTTTTTATAAAAAGTTAAAAATAGTATTTTATATAGAATTTAAAAATAGCTTATTTACTTAAGTAGCTTATTTACTTAAGTAGCTTACTTACTTAAGTAGCTTATTTACTTAAGTAGCTTACTTACTTAAGTAGCTTACTTACTTATAAATTATATTATATATTAATAATTTCTTTATAATTTACCTACTTAAATTTATATTAATAAAATTATAATAGAAAAAATAAAAACTTAGTAATTAGTAGTATAAAATAGGTTAAAAGTATAGCTTTCTATTAATAGTAAATAGTATATCTACTTTTAATAGATAGATATAAACCTCTGTTTAATTTTATTGCTAAATTATATAGGTTCTTTTTTTTAATTTTAATAGCTATCTTATTTTTATAAATTAGAATATTTACTAGTATAAAATCAGGTTTTATAACTTAAAGACTTCTATTTATATTAATATCTAGCCTCTAATAGCACTTCTTATTTACTCTTAGAGCTTTACTAATATATTAATCCAGTTATTACTACTTTATCTTAACTCTATTTAAGTATTTAAAGAGAACTTAGCAGATTTAAAATAGTTAAAATAGCAATAACACCTAAAATACTACTTATATATAGCTAATATTATATGTTAGATTATATAAGAAACTTGAAACTGTATTTCTTATAATATATAGAGCTGAGGTTATAGATATTTATAATTTTATAATAACTGCTATTAGAGTTAATTATAAAACAGCCTTAAGTATAACTAGCTATTACTTTAAAGCTAGTATTCTTAGAAACTACTATTAAATTGTTAATTTAACCTTCTATAGAAACTATACCTTAGGCCTCGGCTGCCTATATTATCTATTTATATACCTTTATCTTTACTAAACTAGGTTCTATTTTAGCTACTAAATTATAATAATCCAAGAGTTATTTACTAGAAATATATTATAGTAAGAGATACTTAATATAAAGCTTAGCCTTTTAAAATCTATATAAATAATCTACTATATTAAAAAGTAATAGATTTACTATTATAATATAAGAAAAAAAGCTATAAATAATATCTAGATTATAAATAGATAAGTAAATATTATATAACTTTAATAGGCTTAAGAGACTGGAAAAAAGAAGAGATAATAGCTTACTTAGACTGAGATAAGTTAGAAAATAATTATATTAATACTTAAGTGGCTCTGGAGTCGGAAAACAGTCTATCTAATAGAAGAGGTATAGGCAAGTTTTGGAGGAGGGCCGAGCAAGACAGTGAGGAATAACAAGCTCTTTATTCAGCTAGAGAGAAGGATGATGATTGTATCGTAGTTCAGTTATAGAGATTAATATATTCGATGAAGGTCCAGCGAACGCGACGCGTTGAGCGTTCCAATAACAGAAGGCTCTTACCCTATTGGGCCCTTAGATGAGGGGAGCTCAGTGGTGGACGAAGCAGAGGCTGCAGAGCCCCCGCACGGTCGCTAGAAGCATTGGAAGAGAGAAAGGACTTTTGCAGCATTGCAGGGCTGATTGAAGCAAGACACGGACTTATTGCAGACGTGCACAACAGAAATTAGGGGTATTCTCTGCTGAAGGGCCTTGGACTGGGCTATACCTTAACGGGATTAATGTTCTTCCGACGTATTTCCATACGTATAGAATACAAGTATCTCGTATGGTATATAGTTAATCCATACGTTTATGGATAGAAACCCTGCGTGCCTTAGCAAATGAATATTACCAATTCCTCAGTGTTGCTAAGGTGCGGGGTTTGCACAGGCCACTTTTACTTACAACAGCCTTTAGCGCCCATCTGGGCACTAACAGGCATACAATCTGAGGAATTAAGAGAGTTGGCCTCACCTTGTGTTGCTCGTGCCAGGCCCAAGATAGCTTCAGAACCAAGCTATCAAAGGGCATCAGGACTCGCGAGATATAACCTGATCAATGGCAGCCAGCTATAGTAGTTTTTCTCTGTTCGTGGGTTTTCCCGCTGTTGCGATCTATATATATAACTCCTTAATTACTGGGGGATCGGAAGGCTAGATGACTAACCCTTTGGGATATAAGAAGGTTCTTCTGGGTCTCTGGCTGGTATGCGGATGCAGGAGAATTCCGGCTGGTTTTATCCGAATTGCGGTACTGTTGCGGGCATGTGGTATAGCCAGCGCAGAGGGATGCCGCCGCCCCTAGCCCCCGCTGACGGGGGCCGGGCTCGAACTATCACAGGCCTTGAGCCGCTGAATTGCTAGATGGCTAAGGATGGTGGAAGCTGTGGGTGGAAATCATGTTGAGCTAGCCTAGCACGTCCTTTTACTCCATGAGGTCTAGTGGGCTTATGTACCTTGCCCTCAGGACGGAAATGAATCAAACAAGCAAACAAACAAACAAGACAGCAGGCACCGCTTCAGCCGCCGTAGATAAGACTCTGAATACTTGGAGAATAGCCTTCAAGTTCGCTTGCTAATAATACAAACCCCACGAGACCCGCGGAAAGATTGAAAACGAAGATATATTAGCAGAAATTGGACGCTGTATGGGCTTTTACGAGATTATGATAAAGCTTGGGAAATGGATATATACAATAGCAACTAGTGCCCTATTGATTGTAAGCTACCGGGCGTAATAAATTGTGTATGTGTGCGTGTGTGTGTACCGTATTTCGCGATTGTATTCCGCACATGCTGAAACCGGCCCCAAATAATATTAGGATCTTCGTATTGGGCTATCTGATAGCTAATTCTACGCGTAAAACGCGTCTTGAGCTCTGGTTGTCGCTTGACGAAGTTTGAGGCTCAGTACTTCCCGACTGGAGGCGTGTCGCGGTCGGCGAGCAGTCGATTGGCTATATCTTCCATATCGCAAAGCCAGGGAGGAAATGATCGCGCATCTAAGTCGAGGACATTCTCAACAATCGTCTTCTCCTCTAGATCCGTAAGTTTACGCGAATTAGGCATGGTATCGCGTCGAGAAGTTATTCCCTTGAGATGAGTGCTGAGCGTTGAATGAGTGATATCGTAGATCTTAGCAGCTGCTCGTGCGCTTAGCTGGGGGTCTTTTTGGATAGCTTCGATAGCCAGGACCATTCGATCCTCTTTGCTAAGAGTTTCCATAGTTTTTTGTGGAGGAATAGCAGATTGAAAGTAAAATATGTCATGGGTACGGGCGGGTGGCCAGCTCGCTTATGAAGTGTGTTATAAAGTAAGATACTGCAACCCCCCCTTTAAAGCCCTATTATGTTCCCTTAAACACTCTAAATTGTCTTCCCCGTCTCATTCTCTTAAGGGGTCTCTTGGGAGGGTCCTAAAGGCGCACTACCAGTTAAGTTATTCATTTTCAACCTGGACCATCTCGTCCCTAAGCTCACTATAAATGCAACACCAGTAGCAGCAATGACGAGGGCGAACGCAACTTTTAGTCCATCCATATAAGTTCGAATTACCAATGGTATGATGTTTTTATCAAAAACTTGCCGGATTTCAGTTGCGCCGGTTTGGACGAGTTGCGACTGTGAGACCTGAGGTGCCATCTCGCGCATCTCCTTAAGCATGGTTTGGAGAAAACTGGTTTGGGCCGCAGCTACAAGAGTCAATGAATGTCTTTATAAGAGATGGGGTAAGCACCGTGAAACAGGAAACTACGCGTAATAGCCCGCATCTGTCGAAACACACGCTTTCGGTGCTGGGGGTCTGTCCCCCTGTTTCTAGAACATATCTAACGGCCATAGAATGATCGACATGAACTTACCGATGAGAAAGGCACATCCGACAGTTTGAAAGACTATTAGAGATTGTTTAGTTGATGTTGAGTTCGATAGTGTGTAACGTATTGGGGGGGCGTTGAGGGAAGAGCGAATAAGGAGACTTACAGAGTAGGATAGCGGTCTTAGAAGCCAAGTCCAGCTCTTTCGATGTTCCCTGGGTGGCAATCATTGGGACTTGGATGCCGGCACCCCAAGCAAGGCCGGCGAGGACCTGGTAGCCGATCCATTTGCCGCTACCGGTTCCGATATCAAGGGTGTAGATCAAGCCCGCTGCGACTGTCGCAATAGCTGCACTCGCAACCAAAATTGGGGCATAAATTCCGGTTTTAGTGATTGAAGCACCAGACACTATGGTAGCGATAGTGACTGCTATGATGAGCGGTAGGTTGCGAACACCAGACATTGTTGGTGAGACACTATGGATAGATTGAAAATAGATGGGAAGATAGTAAATCAAAACGAAATAGCCGCCGGCAAAGAAGAAGGCATACGAAGACGAGATATAGAGCGTCCGGTCCTTAAGGAGGCGAGGTGCGATCATCGACCGCTCGCCCTGGAACCACTCGAGTGCCACAAAGGCCGCAAGGATGAGGCCGGAGCCGGCGAAGAGGCCGATGACCAGGGAGGAGCCCCAAGGGTGCTGGATGCCTCCGTACTGCAGAGCGAGCAGGAACGAGGTAGTAAACCCCATGATAAGTGCCGTGCCAAGAGGGTCCATCTGTAGGAGCTTCTCCCGATATGGTACAGCCGCCGGGACGGCCTGGGGCGGCGTGGAGAAGTAGAACAGTATGATAGCGGCCGAGACGCCTCCAATTGGTAAGTTAATATAGAAACACCATCGCCAGCTCACGTGGTCGGTAAATGCACCACCTGGTTCGGAACGTCAGCCACTGTCTGAAAACGCCAAGTCCAGGAGTTAGGAGACAAAGACTAGAGTCCAAAAATGGATGAACTTGCCTATTAATGGCCCTACAACCGAAGCGATACCATAAGACGCCCCTACAACACCCGTGAGGACTGGGCGCTTCGCCGGACGGGCGCTGAAACCGATGATGATATATGCCCCCGAAGCGATACCAGCGCAGCCGATGCCAGCAATGGCGCGGCCAACAATCAACGTCACACTATTGGGAGCGACTCCACAGATGAGGGAACCGACTTCGAAGATGAAGATGGAGACCAAGAAGCAAATCTTGAGACGGAAGTACTTGTATGCCTTGCCCCCTATTCGGGTGTTAGTCTGGGCCACGAGCAACCGCCCTTCTAATAATCAGGGCAGGCTCACTTACAAGTTGATTGGAAAGCGGCAGTACATACAAAGAAGGTAGCACCATACCAAGAGGCCTCATCGAGGCGATGGAACTCATCTGTAATCCTAGGTATCGCGGTAGCGACGATAGTCGTGTCAAGAATCACGAGGAATACGCTGAGGACTAGGGCGACGACGATGAACCCTAGATGCGCACCCGTCGGATACTCATGACCATCGCCGTCGCCGCCATCGCCCTCGGTGGCAGGTTTCTCGCGTGCCGGGTTGTTGACCTGTGCTTCGCTATCCATGTTTATCGACACGTTATTCCTAGGATGTCTTGCGATGATATCCTCTGTATTTACGGTCGAATGTGTATCCGGCGAATTCTGTTTGGGGTCCTTCTCGGCATGGGCGGCGTGTGTGCCTATTGTAGATTGCATTGTGGGGATACTTCTGTGACGTTTGTGTGTGATGGGTAACTATAGAGTGACCGGTAGAGGGGACGTGGTATTATTGGGGTGATGAGAAAACAGCCGATATAGAGACGACCACTGGGGCTTGGAGGAATTTCAGACCTAGATACGTCGGTATGGGGCTCGTCTATATACCACTTACGAAAACTCGAGAAAGCTTTGCCAATATGCATCGCTAAATCTTAGGAGACGCATCTCTGTCCAGAGCCCTTCGGCAATTTTAAGCTTTCGCTAGGCCTGCGAGTCTGACCAATTTCTTTAATGTACGTATTTGAGTCTCAGACAGTCTCTTATAACTTGCTCCGCGCCTGATCTACGAGCATGTGATGCGGGGTCCTTATAGAGGCGCGGATGCGGAAAAGGCTCCTAGCAGACGCATTGGGTTGGCACTAGAATACGCTTATTGGTAAGTCCAGCATTCGCTGGTGTGGTGAGGTGTACTAATCACACGCGTGGAAAGGGAGAGTTTGTGTTAAGTGACTCATTTGCCCACCAGCCTGGATCAGGCGCCCAATCGCGGTGGTCGTTTCTTAGAAGACATGGAAAGTTTCGAGGATTGAAGGGGGCAGAGGGGCGGGACATAAAGCAATCTGATGGATCCAATACGCCTAGGTCGATCAAGAGATAAGTAGTTGATCAAATGGTCTGATTTCAATTGGTGATCTTTCTTTCTTCTCTTTTCTCCTCCGACCCCCTCCTTTTCTGAGAGGGGCTTTTTCTATCAACCTCGCCACCTATGATGTCAATCTCGCCACCTATGACTAAGATCAGGATATTCACATATCAGAGGATTGCGTCAGATGAGGGTCAATCCAACGCAATCAATAGATCGGCAATTCATCTAGCGAAGTTTTAACGTGGGTAAATTGGTGCAACTGAATTCGCACATGTTTGTCCGAAGTGGATGATAAATCGGAAGGTAAGCAACGATGAAAGGATGTACTTAGCCACCATATTCAAACCCATCGACGGAGAAGAATCGGCACACAGCCTTATCGCACTTTCAGCTTGCCGTATATTTGTGCACTCATGAAGTCTGGTAGTACCTATCCAAGGCGGCTGGGGGAACAGGTCGCGTGAATTTTCAAGGGTTTTAGCCCAGGTGCCTTGTAGTGCAAAATGGGATAAATCGGGAGAATTTCAGATCCGTCGCAGATAGGGAGCCCACTGGTTACCATTTGACCTGAGTCCTAGTTGGGGGAATTATTTATATTGTCAATAGCTTTGATTACTGTAACGTGGTAGGGCGCAAGAGCCTCGCCCAGATAGGAAGCCAACTGATCGTCCCCCTCGCAAATGGGACTCTGCCGTCGTTGATCCATTCACAGAGGAGCAACAAGACTGGTACGTCAGAGATTAGTTGCGAGGGCGCTCACTTTCTCACGTGCAGGAGTCAGGTTTATTTCTAGTCCACGTGGGTGTTTATGTCTTCAGATGGGCTACATGGCATTGAACCGCACTACCTACCTTGCATGCAATGCGGAAGTGAGCCCGGGAAGGCTGACTCTGAACGTCGCGGGCAAGAAAGGGTATTGCTGGTAAGAAACAGCACAATGAAACATGTATGCCTCCCTGAGTCAATTCCGCCGCAAGTAGGGTATTAAGTTTAGATCTTAAATCTCATGAAGAACCTAAGATGAGGTGCATATCATATATTATAGTGAGAAACAGGCCAATCTGCTTTCATGGCGTCTATGCACCCTGCAATCTACTTGCCCTTGACCGTATGGTTGTTTGACTTCGGTTGAGCGGCGCTGTAGTCAAGTGGGCATGAGAGATTTCGTCATAACAGCGTTAGTATTCCGAGACAACTGAACAGACTATTAACCACTCTTGACCCCATTTCTGGGCGCTCGACCTCTCTTACTCCTCTTAGCCCATCTAACTTTCACAAGAATCATGGCAAGTCTAATAGTGAGGCCGCGTGATACATGCTATCGGGACTGGAGTCCTAACTTGCGACCCCTCTGAAGTCTTAGAACTGAGCCTCTAATCAAGTCTTTCTGTCTGTAAATTCCCTTAACGCCTGGCCGTTTCGCATCTATAGGTAATCTACAACGTTCTTACGTCTACGTCAATGATGCGTGATGGCGCGCGGCGCCGCAGCGAATGATGCGGGCAGGTATAACTCAGCTCACCAAGGAAAGCTTCTTTCCCGCGTTTTATACAGCCTACCAAGCTTCTATAAAGAGGAAAACATCCAAGGGGTGTCCGAGGGGCTGGTCTTATCCCCTTTGACCCCGGGACGGTGATTTCTTAGCTTGATATCCGGTTTAAGGCGCCAACACCCCAGAACTCGCGACCTAGCACTGCCCCGGATATCGAAGACGCCAAATAACCCAACTGATGCCTTTTCGCAGACTAATCTTATTAAACATCGAATTTCCTGTTATTAAAATAGTTAGTCATACTTACTTAATATTAAAGGTTATTAAGCAGTAGAATAAAAGTAATAAATTAATATAGTAATAAAAGAGATATTTTTATAAAAAAAATATATAGTTAAGAGGTATATATAAATAAGAGGTAAATAGTATAAGATAACGTACATGATAAGCGAATGTCCCAAACAAGTGAATGTCCCAAAAATCCTAACCTCTAAAGTTAAAACCTCAATAAAACCACAACAATATAATTAATCAATTAAAACTAATCGCTATACTCTTCTCCAGAGGTCTCAATTATAGCCTGACAGGTCCTTGCATTATGACCAGCCTTTCCACATGTTCCACAGCGCCTTTCCCTCGGCGGCGCCGACCTTCGTCGACCACTACTTCTCGATGATTCAGCCACTACCTGCGCATTAACGTCTCTCTGATCTATCTCATCCCTTCCCTCATCTAGAGTCATCTTCCCTCTATTCTGTAGGCGGGTTCTTTTCGCTCTGCGCCGCTTACTAAGGGTCTCATTTGCCTGTTGAAGGATCTGGTTCTCAGACTTCAATAATGCTATCTGATGCATTATTGCCTTTGTTCCCTTAGAAAATGACTCGAGCGCCTCAAGGATAGATGTCGGAGAGCTGCTTTGATGCCTCCTAACTCGTCTTTTGAGGTATTCGGACTGCGAGCTGGCCTCAAGGACTGTCTTTGGGGTCTTCGAGACCCAAGGGTCAGGGAGGCTGACCTCCTCCTCAACCGGTGTTGGAGTCCGTAGCTGCACATCAAGCTTTGATATGACATTTTCTGAGTCTAAAGGAGCAAGTCCGGCCCCTCGAAAACCCCCTTTGATATTGCTCTCCGTCATGGCGGCTTGGTGGGCGGCATAAAAGGCCGGAAAGAACTCAGTCTTTGAAACGTGGGTTATAGAGCATCTAATCAACTGCTCAATTTCTTGACCGTAGGCTTTTTTGAGCGGCCCAAAGCACCCGACATCAAGAGGCTGAAGTAGATGAGACGAATGAGGTGGCATACAAAGTGTAATAATATCGTTCTGTTCACAATATTTCTCAAAGTTGACTGAGTGGTGACTTTCGTGCCCATCGAGGATCAGAAGACGATAGCGACCGGTCGATCGATTCTTTGTGTGCCGGTCAAAGTGCTTGAGCCACTCAAGACCTGTCTCATTGTCGGTCCAGCCATTTTGAGTCGTCGCAATAGCCCAATCGCCCGGGAGGTTGCTTTCCCGGTACCAGCTGGCGAGGTGATATTGGCCCGCAACCACGATAAACGGCTGGATCGCCCAGCCTTCCGCATTAATCGCCTGAATGACTGTAACCCATTCCCGATTTCCAGGCTGGACTGATTTCGGGTTTCCACGCCTATCTGCACCTGTAACGACCATTCCGCTTGCAATTATGCCCATCATAAAGCCGGTCTCATCAAAGTTGTAGATATCGGCTAGGTCGATACCATATTTCGCGATTGTGTTCTCCACAAGCCGGAACCAATTGCGAATAATGGTTGGATCTTCGCATTTGGCCCTCTGATAGTTGTATTTACGAAAAAAACGCGTCTTGAGCTCTGGTTGTCGCCTGACGAAGTTAGAAGCCCAGCGCTTGCCGACAGGTAACGCGTCGCGGTCAGCGAGCAGTCGGTTAGCCATTTCTTCAACACCACGCAGTCGCGGGGGAAACCCTCGCGAATCTAGGTCGAGAATGAATTGAACAATAATCTGTTCCTCTAGATCGGATAGCTTGCGTGACTTAGGGATAATATCGCGTCGAGACTGCATGCCTTTCTGGCGGCGCCCTAGCCTTTTATTGTAGATATGGTAGATTGATGTAGCGCGTCGGATGCTTAATGATGGATTGTTTTGAAGGGCTTGAAGAGTAAGAAGGATATTAGCCTCTTTATTAAATTGAGATATGTTTGGTGGTGGTAAATTAATTGATTAAATGGAAGAAAGAGAGATTGAGGGATTTTTGGGACATTTGCTTGTCTGGGACATTCGCTTATCATGTACGTTAGTAATAAATTTAATATACCTAGGTTAATTAAGAAATAAGTAATTAATTAAATAATCTGATTTTAATTAATAATTATATTAATAATCTTCTTTTTTTATGTTTTTTTTTAAGAGAGGCTTTTTTTATTAATCTTACTACCTATAATATTAATCTTAGTACTTATAACTAAAATTAGAATATTAATATATTAAAGAATTATATTAAATAAGAGTTAATTTAATATATCCCTTTAGCTAAAGTTAAATTAGATAAAGCTATTATTACCTTTTTAAATTAACTTTTAAATTACTCTTAAAGTTTTTTTTTTTAGTTTTTATAGTTTTTTTTACTCTAGCTAATTTAAGATATTAACTAAATTTAGCTATTATATAATTTTTTAAAATAATAAGTTATTAATAATTTTTATAAATTTATTTATAATTATTTTTATTAAAAGTTATAAGATAGTAAAAAAATAAAATAAATTATAAATAAAGAGATATTCTTATAAAGAATATAAAGATAAGAAATAAGATAAAGATAAGGGATAATAGTATATAAAATAGTATAATATAGTATATATTAATAGTATATATAGATAAAAATAGAAGAAATATTCTCTAAGAAAAGCTCTTTTTTTATAGATAAATATAGCCAGTAGATATATAGATATTAGGATAGAAATAATACTATTAAAAAGCCCAGAAATTCAGCTTTAAGATAGTATTAAATATATCTCTCTATATTCCCTAATTACTAAGTAATCTTAATTTCAAATTACAGAGGAATTAAAAACCTATACTTATAAATTAAAATACTTAATTTCTAAGCTTAAATAGATTAATAAGCTAATTTGGATAAATTAATTATATAGTATAAATAGTGTTATTAGTATTATATTTTAATACTATATTATAAGATTTTTTCTAGAATTTTTAAGCTTATATTTAAGCTTATATTTTAACTATTAGAAGTTATATAATTATAGATTTATATATTTATTAGACTTTAATAGTCTTTTTAAATATATAAGGGATATTTAACTTCTTTTTATAGCTTTATTATTTTTATTATTTTTATTATTATTTTTTATAATCTTATAATATTTAAAGAGAAAAATAACTCCTTATATTTTTATTATATTTTAAAAGGAAAAAAATAAACCTTTTTTCTTTCTTATTTATATTTTATATTTTTAAGAGAAAATTATTATTTATAAAAACTCTTTTATTTTATAATTATTTAAGAGAAAATATTTTATATAGTATTTTTATTTAAAAATTCTTTTTAAGAAAAAACTAATTATAAATAGATAAAAAACTCTTTATTATATATTTATTTAATTTCTTTATAATCTTCTAAAGATAGATAATTTCTTAACCTTAAGAATTCTATAAATTCTAGGCTTTTAGTAAAGAAATCTACTAACGTGTTTAATAAGCGAGTGAGACAGACAAGCGAGTGAGACATGAATACTGTACACTAAAAAGAGCTAAATCTTAAATTCTTAAAACTAGCTATCTAATTATTAAAAATAAACTAAAAATAGATTTGATTATTTAATTAAAAGAAAAACTATATAATATTTTTTTTATATTTTTAAAAAAATTTGTTTATATAGAAATAGCTAAGTATACAGTGCGAATAAGAATTTCTAATATAGCTTATTAAGAAATTTTTAAAAAAATCTAAGAAAATTTATATTTATTTTTTAATCTATAATAAAACTATTTCTATAATATTAGCTATTTTACTCTTAGTTTGAATTTTAGAGAATTTCTTAAAGATATTTTTATTTAAAGTATAAATACTAGGAAATTTTAAAGTGTCTCACTTACTTGTCTGTCTTACTTGCTTGTTAAATACGTTATCTATTATTATTATTATAAGTAGAAGAGGCTATAAATATAATAAGTAGATTAATAATAGGTAGGATTTATTTTATATTAGCTAAAAATATTAATTAACTGCTATTATATATATTTATAATAATAATTTACTAGTTATTAAAAGAAATATTAATAGAATTAATATATTTTAAATAACTTATTAATTAATAAATTTTATTAGTATATAAGGTAATAGTAAAAATATTAATATTATATAACTTAATTAAATACTTAATATATATAACTTTTAAGTTATAGCTACTAAACTTATATATCTTTTTAATAGTAATAATATTAATTTAAATTTACAGCTTACTATTTTTAGCAGTAATTATACTATTATAATTTAAATTAAATAGAATATTAATATATATTAAGTTATATTAAGGTATTTATAGAGTTTCTATTATAGAAGTCTTATTAAAGCTTAGCTAGCTAATAAAAATAGTCTATTTAATACTACTTAAATAACTCCAGCTTAAATAAATATTATTAAAATATATATACAATTTATAAATAAATTTACTTACTTTAATACTATTTACTATAATTTACTAATATATTAAATAAATATAAACCAGATTAGATATATACTTATTATTAATAAACTTAATACTATTATAATTAATAATATAACTTTTAATAAAAATTTAAATACTATTTTTAAAAACTTATAAATATTCTAGTTAATCTTTCTTATTAAACTTACTATTCTCTTTAAATATACTATAAGTAATATACTTCTATAAATTTCTATTATTAAAGTTAGAGCTATTAGCTTTAATTAAAACTAGATATATACTATTATAGATACTATCCAGATTAGATTCCTCTAAAATACCAGTAAAGTCCATACCAGCTCAGATCCCCAACCCGTCCGGGGTAAAACCTCCTCCGGGCAAGTTTGTAGTCTGATAGACGCAGCCTGTACAGTGCGGGTTTATCTTATCGTTGCAAGCACTGATTTCATAGCTATTAATGGCTGGAGGGATGCTAAGCTCGGTGACTCTGATCGTCTCTGGATCTGGTGGGGTGGGTGTGCAATTGTAGCTACAAGAGCTCCACGCAACAATGGCAGAGCCAATGCCGCAGAGGCAATGATAGGCAGCATCCTGGTTGACAGTTTGGAGGTAATCTGGGAAAGAATGGAACAGTATGGTAGCGAGCTTCACTTCTGAACCAGAATAGCTTTGCACGACAAGCTTGTGTCTCTAATTAATTAAATGTAGAACTGGGCTTCCTATTTGTAGCCTGAGCCGCGACAGGCCTACAGTCTACGCTTAGGCGGAAATTGCACCACGAACCAAGTGAGCCATTTCATGCTGCGGACAGGGCGTCACGCGCAGGTGGCTGTTTAGATGCTGCCAAACCTTACCGTTGAGTCCGAAAAGTGAGCTTTCAAGACACATGCCGAGCTTGGCCAACCGGATAGAGTAACAGCTACCGATGTGATCTTGGAGCAATATTCAAGCTGAAGAGCTCATGTGGGTTTTTTGACAATCCGGGGAAAGCTGCCAAGTTACGAACTACCGGTAGTAGTTTATGATCTAACCAGAAATAGAGACGAAAAGTTCCATACGCCATCTCCCATTCAGACACGGTCCAGGTTCGCAGCACGCAAGGGTATCAAGAGTCCAAGACTGCGGAGGCAGGGCCACTGTAGCTGTACATCTGGGGAGATCGACGCCTACTAACGCGTGGCAACATGGCATGACCTTCTTTCGGGCATTATGGGGAGCGGAGAACCTGGGGATGAGGGCGGATCCCATCGTCCCCGCGCCATGTATGATGGATGGAGGATAGCGAGGCAATATTTCGTGCAACATCACGTCGGAAAACGATGCGGTATTGGGAAGCATTCCAGGTGGAGAAGGATCGAGATCTCGGGCTTCTCTGGACACCAGGGGGTGTGACATAACTCGGAGTCGGAAAACTCGGCGGGGCTGGAAGGAATTGGAGGTGGAGTGAAACCAAGGACTCCTGGGACTCTGCAGGCATGGGACGAACCTGTGAGGTAGTATTAGACGTGGGTAGAGGTGAGTTCGAGTCTGCGTCGGAAAGCGTGGCGGATTTGCAGGGATCCGAGTGGTTTTCACAGTTTGTCAACATATCGCACTTCGGTCTAAATGCAGCCGAAGAACAAATCGGAACCTCCGAACTTGGTTGAAGCGGGTCGCGAATCGGGTTGCATTTCGTCTCCAATTGGAGGACCAAGACGTCCAGTCCAGCATTTTGCGGGGTGACTCCATGACTTTCTCACCCGTCGCTGTTTTTATTGTGCCAAAGACGAACGTCTCTTGCGAGATGCCTATACCCCCCCTTATATTGCACGACACTTCTCCTCTCTTGATGGACGTTTCCAGAATACTATAATACAGGGAACAAGTCCAAGACACGATACATTTTGAAGCATATCACCGACTTATGAGCCATGTCAGCGCTTGCCCCAGACGCCATCGAAGTCGACCTTGAGTCGCCCCGTTTTCGGGATGTGCGTGACACAATCGCAATCCCCGTCTTAACCCAGGAGTTTTCAGCGTACTGGCTTCGTAGAAGGCATGCGAAGCCACCTGCTGAGGCTGCCATACAGACCAAAACGCTGCTCTGGATCCACGGAGGCGGCTACTGCATGGGCACGCCATTCTGGATGTTTTCTACGCTGTTCAGGTTGACTGAGCTCATGTCTAACCGGCACGTCTACCTTGACATCCTATCGATCGACTACACACTCGCGCCCAAAGCTGTATTGCCGCATCAGCAGAACGAAGCGGTTGCTGCATATCGCTACCTCATCGAGAAGGAAAAGATCAGTCCAGACCACATCATCGTGGGCGGCGAATCAGCCGGTGGCCATCTCGCTGTGGCATGTCTACTTGGAATAGCCCTCCAACGTCTGCCTCGACCAGCCGCGTCGATTCTGCTGTGCCCCTGGGTCAACCTGACCAACACAGGAGCTTCCTTTGAACGCAATAAGAACCTCGATTTCACCGACAAGCCGCGATTGGATGCCGCAGCAGCGCTGGTCCTAGGATGGCCCGACAATCACACCGGCGACGACCTCGCCAATTTGAGCGCACGCGAGGGGAGAGGCTGGAGATGGGGAGACGTGCTGCCTGCGCGTACTTGGGTGAACGTGGGGACGTACGATCTCTTCTTTGACGACATTGTGGCTTTCTGTGATAACGCAGTAGCGGAAGGTGCGAAGCTCGAGTTTGAGGCTTCAAAGGAAAAGACGCATGGCTGGCAGGCTCGGGCTGATCATGAGGCGTCTGAGTCGTATTATCAGCTGGAACCGAACGAGGAGGTGCCCGAGGGGATGCTGCCTGGCAGTGTCAATGTCGCGTCTGGCTTACTCAAGGTATTGAAGATAGAGTAGCATCATGTTTGAATCATGTCGTTTGGGCTTTTGGGACAACTTTCGTGTGAGGAACAAGACATAGGTGTTACATCATGCTAGCTAATTTAGATATGTCATAAGTTGCATGCTGGCTCTTTCCATCGTTTCTGATACTGACCCTGTGAGTTATGTAACTAAGACCTCTGCCCTTCAGGTCCGCGCCTTGCTAGGTGCACTATGTTGGATTCTACTATTATGTCATTCCTTGATCATATAATGTACCTCAAACGACACTGAAATTCAATCTTTATATGGAAATCTTCACCCGCTGAGAAAGTTCCTTTGATTTCGTACAAAAGTGGGAGTAAGAATAGATAATATAGTGAGTCCTCTCGTACGGAGTCACAACTCTGTCCTTTTACCAAAATAGTCGCTGCACCTGTTAACTCAAGCTCCACTGCGTAATACAGCGGACCAGGTAAGGTGGATTCAGTCCCAAGTTTCTAAAGTCCAGCATTCTGTTCATCGTACCATGCCCTCGAGTTTGATCGTGCAAGAGGCTGCCTCAGAAGCTGGATATTAGGAAACATCTCGATCCTTAAGCCCGATCCATTAACAAAAGCAGCTATTATGCTATCCTTCTGGCGGCTGTGGACGGATAATGATGTCCCCAGTTTGCTGCTATACTGGCAATACTTTACTCTGGAGGAGATAATAAATCAGCTTTATTTATTGGGAATTGATAGAGACGCATGACGCTTTTGATATAGACGTATGACTCTTACAGACGCATGACTTTCTAGAGCTGCGATTGGCTAACGTTAAAATTGTTGGTGCACCTGGATTCTGCCGCCCACACTCTAAGTACCTTCAGCTAATGGCTATAATATCTCCATATTCCCACTACAGCATGCATCTTAGTGGGAAGTTAAAATAAATCCACACACGCCAGGCTGGCGCTACAAGGAAGTAAGCCGAGTAGCACACAGGCCAGTGTTCGGGTCAGTAAATTAGCCAGCGGTCGGAGGTTGCAACCGATCATCCGAAGAACGAGCAGTCAATGGGAGCTAGCTGACAGCGATAAGGATACTCTTCCGTGCATAGTGGTCAGGAGGTAGAATATAGGGAATCTTTCAATTAATACAAGACCTCTTTATGTTATCTTATTGCGGTGCAGAGCGCTGGGAAGACTTAAAGTGAGAATACAGCTGTGTTAGGACCGTTGGTTATATTATATTTGCCAAAAAGTATTTTTAGATAAGGCTGTAACTGGCTAATTGCAGCTCTAGAAAGTTATATGTCTGTAAGAGTTATATATCCATATTAAAAGCGTTATGTGTTTCTATTAATTCCCTATTTATTTTTAGTATATAATATAGATAGTAGGTTAAGTATTACAGCTGAGATATTTTTATTGCCTATAGTTTTAGACTGGAGATAGAAATATAAGATTAAATATATAATTCTTATAATTAGTATACTTAATATCTATATTTATCTGCAGTCTATAGAGATTTATTTAGAGTATATTTTTTATATAAAACTAAATATATATACTAATTATACTTTTAGTAAGATATAATAGTTTAATTTTAATTTTAAAGAGGTATATTCTAATAAGTAGAGTACTTAAAAGGTTAGTATCTAGATTATTAAATTAGTTAAAAATCTATATATTCTATATAAAATACTATAGAAAAATAGAAATTATATAGATATAAAATAGCTTTTTCTTATAGAGATATATAGAGGTATAACAGGCTGTGCCCATAGGTAGCCTCGGAAACCCTCGGCTTTTTATAGCTCACTTTTTACCTTTAAGCTACTCTAATAAGTATATTTATAGATAGACCTCCTCTACTCTCTTTCTCTTCTTCTTCTTTTCTTAAGTTTGGTATACTCTGTAGAGTAGCCTAGCTAGTTGCAATACACTACCTTAAGACCGATACAAGAGGCAGTTTATATAGATAAATAACAGCCAGACCTAATAGAAATACCTTTAGTTTAATAGATACTTATTTTAATTAGGCTACTAGCTATTACTCTAACTTAATAATTATAAAAATAAGATATTTATATAACTTAATTAAGAAGAATATAATACTACTCAGGCTTAATATAAGGATTGCTAGTATTAGATATACTACTTATAAACTAAAAGTAAGGGCAAAAGATTATATATATATATAAGATATAAGCTTTAAGTTTAGGTTAGAGAGAGTTATATAGGGGAATAAATAGAGGCAGTACTCAATATAGACTGAAAGATATTCTGCAGCAAAGACTTATTGCTGCTATAATCAGTACACCATAACAGTATCATAAAATCTGGTGCAGCTTCCAAGGTCTTGCTAGTATACCTAACCAGCAATAACACATAGGAAATTTTAGCAGAAGGACTGTAACTGACGCGTGCTTCTTTGTGAGACATTTGGAAAAGGCAGAGGCCTGGCTTAGGCTCCTAAGATGGGACGGAATATTCGAGAATGCCTAGGTGTCGAAATGAGCTGGCATCACTCTTCAATGACAAACGGGCTTTTTATTTCCCCATGAGCATCGTTGAGGGATTCGGTGACAACAGTAGATCCCTGAAAGTTTTCGTCAGGGCGTGAAACAAGGGGGCTGGCCCTGGGTTTATTCAATAAAAGGGTGCTGTAAATTGGTCTAAGACTAAGGAGTAGGAAAGGAGAAGGGGCTAAGCTAAGGGTAGCTGTTAGCCGACTACCTAATATATCACCATGCTAGCTCTTAACCTCCTTTCCCACCTAAAAAGTTATGGGCTTACTCACTAGCCTAAGATATGCAGTAAATATACTGGCAGCGACTGAGAAGTGGTTTTTAGCAAGCTTGATGACCGCCAGGTGGAAGGGGCCAAGGTTTATCTTTTACTATCGTTATTATTCCGGAATGACTAGCCCAGTTACGTACCGGGACGCTTGATGCATAACGCATCTTTGCTCGAGAAGGTGGTTTCTTCTTCATCCGTCCGCCTTGTTTCCTAGCTAGGCCACTCTTGGGCGATGACCTCTTGCGGCCAGTCGAGAAATTTGGTCCAGAATGGACCTACATGTGCCATGATCAGCTGGACCAGCACCTGCCCAACATTACCAAAGACCCAGAACCCCCTATGTTGATGCAGCGCGGCGCAGAAGAAGGCTAGGACGGCTAGTGCCTCTGGCCGATGCTGGTATAGCTGGTCGATATATTCATCTGGTACGACTAGCGGCCATGCCATGATTGCGTGGACAGCCAGCTTGGAGGACGTGGGTGATGCGGAGGACGTTGGCCACACCTGCGACTTGAGGTCGAGCATCCATTGCACCCGGCGCAAGGCCTCGAGGGACGGCTCGGAGGAGGGCGTCGATAGACCCAACGTTGACTCGAGATGGGCGCGCAGCGGGGCGGTCTCGGTCCCAGGAACCGACGGCTCGACCTCGTCGATCCACAGGGTCACGTACAAAAGGGGCTTGAGGTCTGAGCAGAGAAGGTCCTGCCAGTATCGACTCGTGACGGCCCGGACACCGCGATGGATGCGCATGTAGTCGACGAAGCTGTGGACAAAGCTGCCTGCCGTGTGTTGATCAGCGGCGAGGGTGTTGTGAAGGACGTGGATGCCCATGAGTGAGGCGAAGAGGAAGGAGGGGATGAATGTGGCCTCGGAGATGCTTTCGCGGGCCTCGTTGAATAGGCCCAGGGCGCGGGTCTGGAGCTCCGTGGCTTGGTGGCGGAATATGGACGCCGTCTCTGGCTCCACGGTGGAGCGATGCAGCGCGGTGAGGGCCAACAGCTGGTCGAGCACGTATGGTGCCGTGTGCGCGCTGCGCAGGGCCTCGGAGATGATGGGATGCATGTCGCCCTCGAGCGCCATATAGCCGGCCATGCTGGTGGTGGCATGATAGAGCAGGACCATGTGAAGCGCCGTGAACCCATCGCGGAAGCTGAGCGTGGCTAGGTCGGACCCGGCCAGCAGGGAGGAAGGGGTTGCTGACCCGGGGCTGCTGCTGGTGACGGTCAAGGATGGCGCCGACGGAGAAGACCCAAGCAGGGTCCTGGTGAGGCGAGTGGAGAGGCCGGGGTTCACGTCCGAGGTGTACGAGCATGACCGGTCACCTACGGTGCAATTCCGGCACCTAGGACGGCCCTCGTCGCATTTGACGTGGCGTCTCTTACATACGAGGCAGCCTGTTCTGGACTTGGTGTGCGCGCGACGATTCTCTTGCTGTCGTGCCTTTGGTGGAGACGGTCGTGCTTCAGGTGGAGACGTCATAATTTGGGTAGCACTCGCGAGCCTCGCTATGCGCGTCGTATTTGTGTGTGTATGTGCTCGCGTGCATTCAGGATGATGATGGACGAGCCGTAGCAAGAGACCGGCTGAGACGAGACGGTGGGCGGCATGGACGGATGAGTGCGAGGTGGATCTTCGTGTTTTTCCTGCCCACGTCATGTCTTTGCCGGGTCCTCAAGCGAAGCCGAACCCGAGAGGGCACGCTATGAGCGAACCGAACCCGAGTCGGTACGAACGAGGCGGTTAGCGTGTTCAGAATACGAGTACAGTAAAAACTCTGTCAACTCGCGCAGCCTAGCGTCTCCATTTTTCCACTGTTAACCGCGAAAACGTCACAAACAGCTTAGTGTATTAGTTCTCCTTCTTTTTATGGAGAAGCTAAGCTGCGCGAGATGACAGTGTTTTTACGGTATATATCTTCTTGCGGATACTACTAACATAAGCGAGCTCTAGCTGATCGATCTAAGTCTACTTGCTCGTCGGAGAAAGACTTGGAAAACATTCAGGCTGAATTGAGGACCAACTAACTAGGTCTTTTTGGTTTTCTGCCGAGGCCGCTCAATGGCATTGTGTATCCTGATGCCACGCTCCAAAAAGAGAACCGTAAGAAGTGCAAATCCTCCTTTATTACTATAAATACCGGCCATAGTATGGCCCGTCTAAGTCATCCTCCTTAATTCAAGCGTTGAACATAGCACCCGATTTGACTCAACATGAAGCTTCGTCTTACTTATTACCTGGCCATCATCGGAGTGACTGCAACGCAGTCCATCTCTGCAATCAACTCGACCTACACGAACCCCATCTTACCTGGATGGCATTCGGATCCTAGCTGTGTCTTTGTTCCCGAACGAGACAATACCACTTTCTGCACCACCTCGAGCTTCACTGTGTTCCCAGGCCTCCCCATTTACGCCAGCAACGATCTTCTCAATTGGAAACTTGCCAGCAATGCTTTCAATAGACCGTCCCAGGCCCCAGGCATCATAGATGCTCCTAGGCAGAGGGATGGTTTTTTTGCGGCAACCCTACGACACCACGACGGCGTCTTCTTTCTCGTCGTCTCCTTTTCTTGGGGATACCCCCCGCAGCGGATCCTCACGAATTACATCTTCTCATCTCGGGACCCGTATCGTGACGACGCTTGGAGCGATCCTATCACATTTCCCGTCACAAGCATTGACCCTGATATCTTTTGGGATGACGACGGGCAAGCCTATGTTACGTACCCAGGAGGCCCCGAGGTTGGAATCTTCCAGGCCACTTTAGATCCCACTACCGGCGATATAGGTCCTGCTTACAAGCTCTGGTCGGGGTCTGGTCGTCCGTATCCCGAGGGGCCACACATATATCGAAAAGACGGTTACTACTATCTTTCAATAGCCGAAGGTGGAACCGAACTAGGCCACCTCCAATCCATGGCTCGCTCTACAGCCATCTCAGGACCCTATGAAAGTTACCCTGCCAACCCCATACTGACTAACCGAAACACTACGGAATACTTCCAAGCTGTTGGACATGCGGATCTCTTCCAGGATGCTTCCCAAAACTGGTGGGGAGTGGCACTCTCTACCCGCTCCGGGCCAACCTGGGATAAATTTCCCGACATCACGAACGACTCGGTTCTTTATCGACCCAACTCAACGTATCCCATGGGTCGAGAGACAGTTCTCTTTCCTGTGACCTGGCGCCAGGGAGAGTGGCCTATCATGGAGCCAGTACGTGGCTTAATGACGGGATGGCCCATCTTTCCTTCAGCAAAGAAGCTTCCTGGTGACGGCGCATTCGTCAATGAGCCGGATGTGCTCGACTTCGAGCCAGGTTCTAAGCTCCCGAGTCATCTGGTCCATTGGCGCGCACCCGATCCGGCGAGTTACGTGATATCTCCCTCTGGACACCCAAACACGCTTCGGCTGAAGTGCTCGAAAGCAAATCTTACCGCAAGTTCGGGCTTCGATCCGCGGGATGGATTAACCCTCATTATGCGGCGTCAAACCACCACCTTATTCACCTACAGCGTCGACATCGCGTTTAGCCCTCGGGCTCTGGAAGAGGAGACTGGTGTAACCATCTTCCTAACCCAGTTTCAGCATATAGATCTCGGCATTGTACTCCTGAAAACTGGAGGGCATTTGATCCCGCACTTCAGACTTCGCACCATCAATGAAACTGCCACTGTACCCGGAACTGTTATCAGACAAGTTCCACGAGATTGGTTACATCAACCAATCAGGTTACAGATTCAAGCGGTGAACGAAACCCATTATGCTTTCACCGCCATGTCTTCTAGCAACCCTTCACACGGGTTGCCAATGGGCTATGGGCTGGCTCATTTCGTTAGCGGTGGAACGGGCCGATACACAGGTACGAGCTTGCCAGTTTCCGCTACTTCTCGTGACTTAATCCAGTCATGCTAATGGATGTTATTTATACAGGTGCCCTTGTGGGAGTGTTTGCGTCGAGCAACGGCGGGTCGGATACTAGGTTTGCATATGTTAGCCGATGGAGATATCAGGGTTATGCTCAGATGATTAGTGAGGGAGTTTTTACGCCTTCAGATTTGGTTTCCATCAACTAGCTCAAGGCCGCGGTAGCTTGAAGTCGTAATATTACAGCCTTGGGATGCAAGAGAACCGAGAAACTAATCAACTCGTGCTGAGACGAAGGAGCGACGATGTAGAAGATAGAGGAAACCCAGGCATAATGCACCTACCTGTGAAAATGATATAGATGCGCCTGAAAGAGGGGACAGTAATTGATTTCAATTGATCTTGGGTGTTCCGGTTGTTTTAGTCTGATATCTGTTAGTGAGGGTACAGATGGGTGGCCGACTCGCTTGTCTGGCCAGCTCGCTTATGAAGCGTGTCGGACGATCGCATTTGTGCCTCCTTAAAATCGTTTATAGATATTTTCTAGTAATTTAACACGAAATGGCCTAGAGTATAAAGAAATAATTGTGGACCCCTATTCCCTTAAGCTTCCTCTAACTCTACCGTTGCCTCATTTCACAGCATCAAAACCTTCTATCACCTGTCGCTCATCTATGCTTGCCACAGGGAGTCGCTTCGCCAAAAACAAACCCTCATCCCGTCTCGCCAACTTTATCGCGTGCCGGGTTTTCGAATTTGTAGCTGTCCTAACGCTTTTGTACATACCTTGCAAGGGATACGTAGCGACCCCCATGGTTGCTATCACCGTAATCTGGTTAGCCATCGATGTCTTGGAACACGGCTTGAGGCAGCTCATAAACTCACCGGCGAAGAGTTTGCTGGAGATGCTGGCAACACCTTTGCCGACTCCCTTTACAGCTCCGAGTGCTCCCCCATGTTTTGCTCCCTTGTATGGGAGTACAAAAACATCCATCACCCCATCAACTACTCCATACACTAGGACCTTGCCTCCAGCGACAGTCCCCGACTTCAGGTCGCTAATGGTGCCATAATCTCGGACCTCCTCACCGTAAAGGTGAGGAACATTCCTAAGTCCCTCTGTGAATGCAAAGGGAATCTTTACGAAGCCGCTAACATAATATCCAACTAAGTTTGCGACGCCCGAAGCTGAAGCAATGGCTGCGGCTCCCACTCCAGTGATGCAATTTCGCCGATCACTTTGTTTGAGCTGCATCTCAGAACCTACATTCTGACCAGAATGGAGAAGTATTGATTGCCCATCTTCAGGCTGCATTGGTGAGGCCTTCGTGTGCTTCTGGTATACCTTGACTGGCTTGATGACGATATCTGCGGTAGCCCGCAACATGTCACTGGCAACCACGGCGGCAGTAGATATCGTGCCGGTTACAGGGTCCCACCTTCGAGTTTCAATGCTAATCTGTCGGGTTGCGTGCCTGGACACCAGTATGATGAGTCAGTCGTTTATTTGATAGAAGTGGATGATCCGAATGACATACATTTTCAGCTTCCTGAAATCGACTTTCGAATGATCAGAAAGGATTTGAGCGGCGACATTAGAGAGCTTTAGGGTTCCGTGCTTCCCCTTGTATACCCAGGAGGCCGGTTGACCTGGGATTATGTTGCATTCAAGCCCCTGCCGCGGAAGGTTTGCGTGGAACGATGCCACTGCTGCTTTGACTCCGGACTCCGTTTGCATTTTAGATGCAATGACGCTTGCCGCCAGCACAACATCTGTTTGGAGGCAGAACTCGATTGCCTCTGCAAGGTTCTCGGCGTTGAGGGTTTTGTAAGGGATGGGCTTTGGCCCCGCACCAGCGGCAGCCACCATATCTCCCCAGAACGGTTGGCTATTGTTTACGTCAATCTTCAGCTTCTATGTTGTATTGGGTTAGCCAAGGAGTCTGGTGTGAACTTACTCGCCAAAAAAGGGAACGATGGTCGTTGGTCGTCCATTAAGAAGGCCACAAGCTGTTGTTCCTGCACCGCCATGGTGAACCACAGCGGCCACATGTCGGAACAACCACTCGTGAGGACAATCGTCCAAATACATGATGTTATCTCCCTCGGGACCTCCGAGCTTACTCCACCCTCTTGATATTAACGCGCGTATGCCCGTCCTAGCGACTGCTTCGAGTAGAATGGCGGACAATTTTTCGGGGTTTTCGATGACAATGCTACCAAACCCAATATAGACTGGCGGGGGACCACGTCGAAGAAAATCGTCGAGTGCAGGTGGGGGGTTATAGTTGGGAGGGTCTCGAAAGAAGAAGCCGCAAACATCTGTGATCCTAACTTAGCAATGATGGAACTAAAAGAGTGGTATACAAAATACCTATGTTTGAGGGCCAGTCTGATGGTTTTGGTACCAAGGCAGGAGACCAACAGTATGTGAACGGGATGTTGAGTGTTTCCGCCAGTCGAGGTCCCTCCGAGAATGCCACGGGTTCTAGATCAATAGAATCTCTCCATCCATTGATCACATCTCCGAGGCTGGCAAGACATGTTAGATCAAAACAGCAATGTTGAGGATGTACTGGTCAATTTCACCTACCCCTGCCATGTCAAAAATTCAACGGCGCCATATGAAATGTAGTTGGCTGTCTGAAGCTCAAGCCCAAAGTTCCTCCCGAGCTTGATGTTTGCCAAAGGGTGCGGGAAAGCCCTTGTACTGGTCCACGGCATAGTAAACATTAGATGTACCGGAATACCGAGCACTTGGGCACAGTGGATGTGTGCAAAGCTAGGGGGGTTGGCAATGAGGGCATTAGCCACGAATAGTGTCGATGTGACCGGGTCGGGCAATATGCATGAGTCCCAAAAGCCATTCAACATTTCTCTCACCATTCTTCGCTTTTTTTGGACATCGCCAGCTCTCAGGCTTTTCATGCTCGGTATCAAACCGGGGTTTCTTACCATGAATGACATCAGCTCTTCAGGGTCACCGCCCACTGGATAGAACTCCAGCCCCGCAGCGCGTATAAAAGAGGCGAATATATTGTGCGTTGCGATGCGTACTCGATGGCCATGCTTCTGAAGCTCACATCCAAGGGCGACAAACGGTTGCACGTCTCCACGGCTGCCAACGACTTGGATGACGATGTTGAGCTTGACGGGGCAAGTGGTTGACTTGGCGTTCCGAGCATCTCCGACAGAGTATGCTGGGGGCGACTCAGCGGGCTCTGCTGTGTTGTGGGGGGCTGGAGATTTGAAGTTTGGAAGGAGGACAGACAAGGTCTTGACTACTCGCGTGTTGAGCTCTAGGTCGACACGACCGTCATCTATTTCGAGATTAGTGTCAGCGCAGGCCGTGTGGGTAAGGGTGAAAGAAACCTCTTGTGATCAGATTCTGGTTGAGTAAGCGACTGGATGATACGTCGTGATATGAGGGAGGCGAGTCGGACCAGGCCATCTCGTCATGTTGAGCCATGTTGTCGGGTTGGGTGATGTTGAATGAAGAACTAAGACTGGTCGCTGCTATGTACCGTCAGTGCAGTTTAAATGCTGGGTTACGGAGTGAAAGAAAACACGATACGTAATGGCATGGAATATGCTCGGGTTTTACATGTTGCTACGCACCATCACATCACCTTCGAGAATTGGGCTGTACATTAGGGGCTGAGTTACACGTATTAGCGTGGCGCACTGAAATAGCTGCATTGCTAGGGTGAGTTGTCTCCTGCACTATCTTCGGCAATGCCTTCCAGAATTTGGGGCGGGTTTCGCCGCGTCGCTGGCCCGGCTGCTCCGTCATTGCCGTGTGTCGGTTGGCTTGGATGACCGATGACGATGGAGAGGAGTGTGAGGTGGGAAAGAAGCAGCCGAAGTAGCAGTTGGGAATGCGAGACGAGCAAGGAGTGTCTTGGTGCCGGTTACTATTGGACTGGCGCTGGTCTACGGATACGCCGTCCCACCGCACCCCACCAGACTAACAGCGGCCTAGCTCAAACCCTCCTGGAAACGAGGCAACGCGAGGGCTCGTATCGAGTACGAGGGTTGAGTTGGATTGGAGTGGGAAATTTACGTCGCCCTATAGCTACCTACCTTACATAGCATGGCATATGTTCAAGACTCGCACCTGGTTCTGCATTGCTTCCATCGTCGGGGCCTTTGTACGCCAACCCTTTCTGCTGAAGCCGGCCATCTTTCACCTCGTCTCTTCAATTGCTAATATGAAACTCTCGCAGTCGAAATGAGGATCTTTGAAAGGGGAACTATTTTTAAAACCATGCGTGGAGCGACTCCGAGGCTTCTGCTGTGATGAAGCTGGATTCTATCGCGTCTCCGTTATTTGCAACTCACTAACACTATGTTGATGTTGGCACACGGAGTTATGAGTGTCTCGAGTCAGGGGTCTCTGGGGGAAACGATGTTTCGGAGGCCATCGTAAGATTTCTATTCTAGTATGACGAAACACAGCACCTGTGTGGCCGATACGAAGAATGCAAAGGCCCTCGGAATGATCGGTTCTGGCATTTTTCCAAGTCACCTTCTTGAAACCGACCTGGCCCCTCGCTCGGGTTGAATACGAATCGCACTGAGGACTCCATGTAACACTAGCAGTGGACTCAATTACACTAGTCATACAGTATGTATGTTTGATCGACAGCTGGCGCCGCGTCCCACAAACCAATCTCGCGTCTAGGACTAAAATGATATCGGTTAGATCCGCAAATACGCGTATTAAGCAAAATTGCAATCACCCCTTGCTTCTTGGGGGCTCACCAGAGACGAAACCCTTTTTTATCGTTATTATCTTAAATACTCCAGATATGCTATGATTTTCATGTTGCCTTCTTACTTCTCATAATCAAGCCCCTTAACTTTGCAAAGCTGTCATCATGGCTGCTGTGACAGGCGGTCAGGGACGCTTGGGCTAGCTGGTCGCTTGCGGGGATGTCTCTAGGGTGGTCCGGATCAGGTTAAAAGGGAGGAAAGGAACCTGCGCTGGAGGACAGGAAGATCGGTTTTTTAATTCTTTAGAAATTCAAGCTGGACGTCAGAGAGGCCGGCAGGCCTCTGGACTGCTTTCCTGCTGGGAGACATAAGCCTCAGATTGATCCGACCTCATACGCGTAATCTGGTGCAGCTTCGGGCTGACCGGCCAAGACGCCTGTGCGACGACCCTCTGTGCAAATCCCCTAGGGTAAGTTAATGAGTTGGGTGTTGTTTTCGTCCCTTTCTGCTGCTAAACTGCTGATACTGGGTTCAAATTCTACCACTACGACCCTTCTTTTCCTACTGCTGTTGCCTTCATCGTTCTGTTCAGCGGTGCCACCGCGCGCCATATTCAACTGCTCGCCAAAAAAAAGTACTTGGTATTTCATTCCTTTCGTAATTGGGTGTTTGTGTAAGACCATCATGCTCCTTCTAGACACTTGCCGCTGACCTATTTATCACGCAGTTGAGGCGATTGGCCATGTGGGTCGCGCTATAGGTGCTAAGCAAACCCCCGACTGGACTCTCAAACCCTACCTCCTTCAGAGCTTATTGACCCTTTTGGGACCAACACTCTTTGCTGCGGCTATTTATATGGTACTGGGTCGCCTTGTTCGGCTTCTCGGCGCAGAGTCTTATTCAATGATTCGACCGAAGTGGCTCACAAAGGTCTTTCTTTTAGGCGACCTTCTGTCCTTCCTCAGCCAGAGTGGTGGTATGCAAATCACTTGGAATCTTGTCTTACAACACACTAACCCTAATCAGGCGGCGGTATCCTTGCAACTGCCAAGACAGAGTCATCCCAAAACCTCGGAAATAATGTCATTCTTCTGGGACTTGGTATACAGGTTTTGTTTTTTGGTTTCTTCATCGTCGTTACAGTCGTATTTCATATACGCATTAATCAGCGGCCTACCACAAAATCTTATACCATTGTGACGCCGTGGAAGAAGTTCATCTGGGTGCTCTATGCCTCCAGTGTACTTATCATGGTGCGCTCGATCTTCAGGATGATCGAGTACGCGGAGGGCAACGATGGCATTCTGATGAAAAGGGAGATATATGTGTATGCTTTGGATTCTTCTTTGATGTTTATTGTCATAGTATTGTTTTCTGTATACCACCCAAGCAGTGTTCTTGTCGGGCATTCTGTTTTGAATGGCGAGCCTAACCTTCCACAAAGCACCGACAGCTACGCCATGCTTGATCACGGTAGACGGGATACTAGACAGTGGAACTGATCACTTCGAGAAATGTTGCATCTAGCAGATGGAAATGATCATATGTGCGAGAAGCTCTTGCTATTCTTCCTCTCTAATAGAGGGTCTTGAGGTCAGTCTTATAGATGAAGATGACCTCGGATGACCTCGGACGGCCGAGAGGCTCCGGATAGTCCGGAGTCTCTGGCTTCAGCTAGCTATTGATAAAATCAAGGAAAAGCTAGGCCTATGATGAGGCCTCTGACGAGGCCGGTGACGAGGCAGGTGGCGATGGATGCCTATGATGAAGGAAGGAACAGCTAGGAAAACCTTCACTGTTGCAATAGCCGTAGAGATCCGATATCCCGATATCCTGATATATGTGACAAGAAACTTGGCTGAAGTGTTACTGGCATATAGACAAGATATAATTAAATAATAAACCTTTCATCAGCGAATTAATGCATTTGAGCGAATTAGACATGTGCCAAGAATGAATCGGTAACAACTACAGGTATTGGCTCATAGCTTATATTGAAGAATTCAACTTTCAACATACTCCATGTTTGCACCATTCAGCTTCCATTGAATCGGCATAGCACACGTTCCTGCTGTGTGGTGCCTTAGCTGGAAGATCAATCTATTCCAAGACTCGATGCTTTCGCTGATATGCAGGTGGGTGAAGCGCCTTCGCGCTAAGCTGGAGGAACGAGCAGCCGTTTCTTGGTGCTCTGAAATGCCTTGAGACTTGGTTCACTCAACTGAGCTTGGGGCTGAGGTGCCTGGAGGGCTCACTTTTGGGATGGCAGACCCCTGTGAGAGACCCAGATATGGGACAACGTCCCCAAATTTAGGCCTCGGCTAGCCTTTCCTGTGTTAAATAACCTGACCTGTATTGACTGGGTGGTTTGAGAAACCTGCATCCGCGATGCTTCCTAGGGGGCAGAGAATAATCTAAGTATCCAGGCAATACAGGCATGGGAAGGATGCCCGGGTATTCTAAGAAGCCTATCTTAACGTCACATGCCAATGTATCTGCATGTGGTGACTCGCATCTCGCGCGACTTGAGAGTTCAGTACCAATAGTCGGGGATATATTGGATTATTACGCTCTTAAGCTGGCTTTAGAGTGCCAAAATCTTCCTGGTATGCAACTGCCGTCTAGGTTTTATAGGTGTCGGAAGATCGAGGTCTGGGGAGTGGACCCGCAAAGTTTGTAAATAAAGATATTAAAAACAGGGTCACAATAGATAGGGTCGATTTCCGCTATTCTAGTGGATATATTGTGAAGTATTCTGAGTCAGGTTGTTTGCTATTGACTTAGATCTTGCTAATAGTATAGAAGCACTTAGGGCAGGGGCCGGCGGAAAGCTGATAGGATAAACTTATACTTTTAACTAAAACTTACGCCAGCTAGAGTTAAAGGAATTATCAGATCAGCATCTACAGCAAGCCTCTAATAAAGATTGTATAAATAATGATAGAGATGGGTATCATTCAATTGCAGAAATAGGCCTAATTGTAACTAGTATAGGGGAATAGTTGCCGTTATCTAATATATAACCTTCTGTAACTAACGCAAAATCCAGTCTAAGAACCGGTAATAAGGCCACTTTTATCAGTCTCTAGCCAGGCGATATCATGACCCCGGGCTTCTTGATTTCCAAAGAAGGTGTGTAACTGGTAAGGCAGAATCCTAACTATTACAAATACCCAAAGGAATCCGCCGTTTCTGCCTCATCGGATATAGGCCTTGAACTAGAACTCAAGCCGGCCGGGTCTTATCGTGAACTGTTTGTAGAGTTCGGATATGCAGTCTACCACGCGCCATATGTTATTCACTAGGCCATCCTTCTTGCCACTTATAACCATGGCGTTGGCATGCTCTCCTTTGTTTTCTGGCAGGGATTCGGAGGGGCCCAATAACGTAACCTAATCTACCACCCGAAGACCCGCAAAAGATCCAAGAATGATACGATCGAGTATCGATTGACGCACAGGCTTGCTCAGCTTCCACGGACCTGTTTTTGTTCAAACTACGGACCCAGGCTTGTCCCGCAGGAGGAGCAAACAATCATGTGAGTACATGGACAGGGACAGGCCCTGAGGTGAGTGATAGACGGTTGCGAACTCAATAATGGATTGATAAACTCATCCATTGACAATGGAGAGAAATGTGTCTAAAGAATCTGAAGGGTCCGTTGCTGGCTGCCCCTTGGGCATGTAGAGGAACCCATTTCTTATATCGATGAAGACTACCCAGTTTGCGGTGTAGACTATATCTGCCCCATTCATCGCAAAGAGCCCAGTTATGCCATTCTTATCCCGGAAGCCATATTTTGAAGTCCCAGGACCATTGTCGTACATCGACGGTAGATTATCTCGCATTTTAATTGCAGTTTTGTAATATCTTGCCCATTCCACTTCCTCGTTCCAGCATATATCATCGGTGCTTCGGTGGATGGGCTGAGGTAGTGGGATCGCAGAGACGCTTTGCAGCAGGAGAAAAATAGGAAGATAATCCCAGCAGGCGCCTTGTTGGAGGAGTTGAGGATGTTGATCTGGGCAGGCGGGGTTTTGGAGGCGATGGGTTGGGTGCGCGCCCTGTTGGAGGGGTTGAGGGTGCTTATCTGGGTAGGCACTTTGTTGATGGGACGGAGTCTGTGGAGGCTGCTGCTTGTCGGTATGATTCATTGTTACGTCCTCGATGGATTCACTTGCAGTTGTTTGATCCCAATGTAAGTATAATCTTGAGATATTTGGGATCGTCTTTGTGACGGGGGCGGGAAGATTAATGGTAAGGGGGAGGACTGGACACAGAGCCGGAAGTGCTCGCCCCACAGGTTGCATCTCATTGACCATCGGTTCGGAATGGACAAATCCGCCACTGGCGTGTTGATTTCGCGTTGGCATCGGACGGGTTCTCGACCGTCTAAGCACGCTACATCAGCAGCCATATCACCAACCACTGCAGGTAGGGGGCCAATCGAAGCGCAATTACTGGCGCGACTACTGGACTTGATTCTTAGCTTCTGTACCGAAGCAACACATCCATGCAGTGCGGATCGTCAACGCGGTCTTCTAGGTGGATGATTTATGGGCCGTGGTGGAACAACATGCCAAGAATACAATACTACTAATTTTGGTCAGTTTGTCATTCCCAATGCTCAGCTACATTGGTCTAGGCCCTGCCACCACGACATATGCTGGAGCTAATTGCCAGCTGTCGGGTGTTTATTGGCTAATGTCCTATCTCTCCTCTTTCCACCATGGTTGTGCGTGCCGTCACCTGCCGAGAGACAGTCTGTGGAGAAAGATTGATTGAGAAGCTCGAGGAGGGTGGATGAATGGAGACACGGGAGAAGTTGGATCAAATCGGCTTGTAAAATAGGGTGCCGTAAGGTAGACTATGGTAACATGGACACTGCGACTGGCGCTGTTGCTTTGACAGTACGAGGACAGACTACATCAGCTCACAACCCTAATATCAATTCTGCTCGACGTAGGCTTTGAAGGCATGCAAAAACCCCTCCGCAAAAATGTCTCCTCCTATCTCTAAACCCAGCCTATTCCTGGTACTACATCATCGATCTTTGAGGAGTCTGGCTGAGGGACATGTTTGTGCGCAGGGATACTATTGAGATACGTCGGCGAGCCCGGGCAGCCACTGGGTGACATATGCTGGCTGATGGATGTTTGGGCGGGCCGTGATGGTAGAGGGAGATCTGGCGGTGAATCGGAAGGTCGACGCAATGTTGCTGAATACGAACGTACCGCTTGTTGTACCACAGGACATGGCGGTGGAACTGCGTTCCGTCGTACTTGACGTGGCATGTTCGGGGCACATGTTGGCTGTGGTGGCGGAGTCGGGGGTGGATGAGATGTTGGATCTCGGCGTATGTTCTGGTGTCCCTGAATTTGTGATGAGGAGGGCTGTGTTGGTAGTGACGGCGGTGGATAGACGGGCAATGATATGCTTGACCTGGGGTGATGCGAGAGCTTGGATAATGGAAGGGTTGGGGATTGAACAGGAAGTTCGTATGACAATCGTCCCAAGTCATTGTCGCCATTGGTTTCGGGCAAGCTATAGGCATCCCAACCATCCTCTACGCTTCTTTCTGTTGTAGTGGCAGGTGTATTACTTGATGACCTGGAACCGGCTTGTTGGATCTATCTTGATTAACTCCTGGGCAGAAACGAAGGGGCTGTTTCTTACTCGCAGATATAAGTGCGCATATACCAGGTTCCGTATTGTCTTCGCAATCCAGGCAAAGAATTGTTGCACAGTGTTTAGCAACTCCATGGTGATTTGAGGAAATAATTTATGAGTGCAGACAAAAAAATTCGCGTGTCTGAGGGGGTTGATCTGTTTGCCTGGTGGGAGACGGTTGGTGTTCCCTATTTGTGGGAGACCAGCAAGTCGGTGCCTCCAAGTCGAGTGGAACTACGTACCCCAGGAACAGCAAATCTACAAAAGGCGACAAATGACAGGTTGAAAATCAATCAATCACACAGGCCATATATCCATCATCAGCTCAGGGCTGTACTAGCGGAGACTGACTAGGCCCAAACATGGATGGGCCTTCTTCCGGCTCCAAGGCCGCCGATCCGCTGCTCATTAAAGTGTCCGAGACTAGGTAGGACTCCTAGTCGCCAGAAGCTTCTGTGGAGAGCTCGTGTGGAAATTGCGACGGCGCGGTCCAAGAAAACCAATACTTCCCGATTCGGGCTAGATTTGGCCAGATTTGGATCTTAGCGAAGGCCCTTTAAAACACTTCGTACGGACTCCCAGATGCCTGCCGCGCTGGCTGAGCGAAAGAAATTCCAGCACATGATCCCCAACAATTCCAAGGAGGCCTCTTGAGCTAGGAGCCGCGGCTGGATGTATAAGGTAAAGCGGTGGTGATTGATTTGGCCACCTAGTCTGCAAGGGGCGAAGCCGCTGTCTCGGAAAACACCGGTCAGGCTGACTGTTGGCCCAACAGCGCCCGACAGAGATTTCAAGGCCACGTCGAGCGATTGATGAGGGAGGAGCACGGGAACTGGCTGACGGAAAGAGAGAAAAATAACAGCGGGCGCGCATCTGTTGAATGGTGCGTACCATGGCCGGCTTGCCTCGACATGGACAATGAGGAACGCAGGCGGCGGAAGATATGGAGCCCATCCATCGATTGGTTGCAAAGAAATGCAGCCTTGTTAATGCCTTAGGCTTAAATGCCACGTCACTCGTTCGTCATTGTGGCATTTCGGATTTGTAGGCAGGGAGTAGCCTGGCCGGTTTCGTGGTAGATTTCGAGCAGCATGCAATGAGCCAGTATCCATATCATCAAGACTTTATCCACATCCCCGTAGTGGGGGGTGCTTCCCAACCTGCGAATGTCTATTTCACAGCGCCTCTGCCCCATGAGCCCGTTGAGCGATTCCAGTGGGAGCCCTCGGGCCTTCAAGCAAAGCCGACTATTCTGTTCGGCCTGGCCCCTCTAGATGGAGGGACCGAGGAGCTTCAACGCAACGCTCGTGCATCGATAGCATGGGTGCAGCCAACGCCGGCAGCCGGGATGACATGGGACCTCGGCATGCCAGCTGAGTGTGCTGCGCTGTGTGCGACGATCGAAAGGGTTGGTTTCCTTGCTTGGTCGCTAAAGCCGCGCCACGGTGACTGATCTCGTGTCTAGGACCGCCGGTTCCGACATGTCAGAATGACCAAACAACCTGGCGTCTACCAGCTTGAACCAGGTGGTATTATTTGGGTGGAATCGGGCTTTCTGGGACTTTGTGTTCTCTTGCAAGAGAGGGATGCCAATGTCCAACTTGTGTCCTACAAGAAGCAGTCTTTGTGCAATTGCATCTGGCCAGTAGGTCACATCTTGTACCTCACTGCAACGGGGATCCAGTCGGAGCAGCGGATCAAACTTGCACTTCTATTATTCAAGGTAGAGCCCTACCAGCTATAGATCCTTCATTGTTCCTGCAGCGCAGAACAGGCCGCTGCGCCATTCCAAGAGATCATCTTCTCGGAGCGCACCGCGGCGTGGCTGACTGCGCACTCCGAGAAGACGCTCAATGTCTTCAAGCTCCAAGTGTCCTTGTGAGCCCGTGACTGCAAAGGCTCTCATGGCCGCTTCCTCTCTCGGCATGTAGCTCCTATTTCGTCCACCTAAGAGCGTGTATACCAGGTTGGGGATACGGAGCTGCGCGGAATTGGCCATTTTGCCGGGGATCGAGACGGTACCTCGCCAAGTTAACATCAGCGCGATGAGTTGAAAATGTTCCTTGGCCAGTCGACTGGATTGGTTCAACAATGCCTTCTCTAATCCGAGTCAGATTTCACACACACACACACACACACAAACAAACTGTTGGCATACATACGACGCATGGGTATTTCGTAGGCTCGCTCCGATTGATTCTCCGCAAGCATATCCAGCAGCTTTATAAGCTTCGGAACGGCCACCCTGTTGGACCGGAGCGCAGCGTCCTTGATGTCGAGAACCCTCATGTTCTTGTGCACAAAGTATTCAGTGCAGTGACCTAGTCGCATCGCTACAATGCTCAGAGCAGCGTACACGGAGGTGAATGTCTGAGACTCGTAGTCGTCGTGCTTTGACGAAACGATCTCTCCGTAGGCCACAAGTAGTTGTTGCCACGACAAGCATGCGCGCTCTTGCTGAGTAAATTTGTCGGCCAGTGTCAATTCTCGCACCAACAGTTCGATGCCTGCGTCGTTCAGGCCGTCATTCCAAGGCGTTCGGGCGAGTTTCCGAAACAATGAGAGGACCGACTGCGCATATGTATCCTGCTTCCTCTGCGGGTCCACGAAACGAACGCGACGAGGCATAATGACTGGTATGTTGGTGGGGTTCAGTAAAGCTTGGTTGTTGGGGATGGTTGGCCCCCTCGTGTCTGAGGGGTTGCGACTCCAGGTCGGAGGAAGATGGAGAGTGGGAAATTGCCTGATGCTCCAGAGGTCAAGAAGGGAAAGGTCATGTGAGCAGGATGCTAATCTAAATAGGTAACTTAATAAGTTATTAGATTTTTTTAGCCCCAAATAGGGTTAAGCGAGAGTTAGTTCGCGTGTCTGCTAACTTGAAGGGGTAATATTGGAACATCTGCCGCGAATATATTCCCGATGCCTGTCGCCTCAAATAATACGAGCACCAGCGTACCCTACATCCGAGTCCTATATCCATCTCCTGCATCCGTCAAGCGCGCCAGCGTCAGGTCTCTCCCAGTTTCGCGGAATTTTTTGCCAATTTTTCCGTTGTCTTCCTAGATGATATCCATGCCGCCTGGGAGGATGCTGTGGTAATCAGCGCTATCAATAAATTAAATCAAAAGCAATGTACTCTCCACTCCGAGGAACTTGATTGGTTAATTCCGAATTCTAACGAATCAGGAGCAAGTCTGCTTGCTTTTGACTTGATTTGATTTGACTTGTTGACAGCGCTGGGTTGGTAATCAATCAACATCCACAACCCAGTCTGAATTGGATGAAACGCTTGACATTGATGGAAGGCAGTTGCAGGCATACAATCCTCCTCTTCTGGGGGTGAAGCTGGATTACATGACATCATGGTGAGTCTACGCAGAATACCTAATCATAAGGCTTATCCTGTAGGGAGTCGTCGGACGCGACATGGCTAAATTCGACAAGTCGTCAGTAAGTCATCGCCACGGAAAGATTGTTACGTTGCATAACACAGCAGACACGAAATCCGATTCAAGGTCAACAACGGCAATCACCTATCCAACGCTCCCTTATCCAATCTCCAGAGCAGATTGGATGTGGGTGCTGGCAATCGCGATTGGGCATGGTAAGCTTACGGTTTTCCTTTTTCCTCCCGTTACGCAATATTTGCTAACTCCTCGCAGTGATGCCGCCGATCACCATCCGGAGGCGAAAGCCATAGCCTTCGATCGTCTCGACGTCCTTCCAGAATGGGTACCACCAAACCTCACCTGCCAAATTGACAATGCTGATCGAGGGCGAACGTTGTGTCAAGACATGACCGAGAGGACGGGTCGGGCACTGGAAATGACCGAGACAATTTGTGACCTGCTTCGAACAGCTGGATTCCGTCACACCAATACTGTGAGCGGAACTGACACCCTCGGGCACGAATTTGACGTCAAGGGGTACATGTTACTGCCTTTTCATCTCGGATTAGGATGGGAAATCTCCAAGATCAACCAAACGGCAGAGATGATGAAGAAGGACCTACCAGTTCCAATTGAAAGGTACGTTCCATCGCTGTTCCGGAGAGCTACCGCTGACAGACAGCAGGCATCATCATCTCGACTCGTTTCAACACCCTGAGCAGCTCGTCAGGCAATTGACCGCGGCGAGTGTCACACACGTGACCGCAGGGCTCGTCCGTCAGACACGCCGAATTGAGCAATGAGGCGTCTCGATGCGAGTTGCTGTAATCTCCGGGCTGACGTTGTTCCGTTATCTTCCTTGCTTCTGTTGAGGAGGCAAAGGCTCTGGAAGCTTCCCTCCCTTCACGTCTTGCTTCGGGCCTACAAATTCCCGAACGCGCGCTGTAGCAAGAAGCCAATGAGCCGGTGCCTCCTGAGGGATTGCCTTACCGCCTTCGCCTCTGCGTCAGGCTGTGTCACCTTTTCACAATTTCCCTCATGAATCCTCTCTCCATCCAGGCCTGGGTTGACGAAATGGACTCCTCCGCAACGGCGCCTCCCGTTGACCCAACGCTGACGGCCGATCCATTGCCCGACCAGGCTGAGCGACGAAGCCTTCCTGATGAAAGGTCGAGCCCAGCAAAGCGTCCACGAACAAGTGAATACCCCGCTTTCTACCCAGATCCCGACGAGGCTCCAGCACGCCCCCAACCTCAGCCAGCGCGACATGACTGTGGGGGAGTCATCCTCGATCCTCTTACAGGCCCAATCCCTTACCCTGACCTTATTGGAAGCCGAGAACCTTTTTCGCCCCCAATTTCCGTCCAGCAAGCTCCGACAGTCACCTCTGACATGACTGACACGACGCGGTCGGGCAGGGCAGCTCCTACGAAGCGATCCCCAAAAATGCCGAGTCTGTTGAGCCTGGCGCGACCTGTTCGTTTCATCAAGGAGAGTAACCTGGGAAGGGTTCTTCCGTGCGACGCTCGAGCGCTCTTTGCGGCTCTGTCTGCGGTCGAGGCAAAAGAGGAGATTCTGCCGGCGGCTCTTCGAGATCATGTGGATTTTCGGGATCCCAGAGTTCGCGACTTTATGTGGAAACCCGCCCCAGTCTCTGATCAACCCAATGCGGGAGACGAGGCAACACTTCTTGCAAACCATGCACGCATCCGAGGCATTGTTGACGATTCCATTGCTTCGTCTAACCTCAATCGATCCGAAGACGCTTGGAACTGCCTCGTCCACGCACCGGTTTTACGCTATGTACTCTCTCGCTTTGCTTGGCTCGAAGTCGAGCCTATTTCTTCAGCTCAGATTATGCCAAGATGGCGTCCTTTCTTGAGGTATAGTCATCAGGACCTATGCCAACCGTCTCACACCAGTGCATCCAGCGCAAGCAGTGTGTCTGAGCAGGATTCGGGAAAGCCAAGGACTCCGAAGAGAGTGGATATATCGTCACTCCGTAAGATGGTTGACTTCTCTGTGGTCCTTCGTCCCGCCAAGGAGCTTCAGAAACTTATCGACGAATTATTAGACCGGCAGCTATATGGAATGAATTCGATCAGCCAGACTATGTATGAGCCTCTCCGCACCCGGCCAGCTCCTATCTTCATCGAGACCAACACACCATCCGGCAATATGGACACTGCGAATGTTCAGCTTGGTCTCTGGATTGCTGCATGGCATCAGCATACGCGCATGATTGTTGCACTTGGGCGACCAGATGGTAACAATACTATGCATCCTGATAGTCCTGTACTTACGCTTCCTGTTATTCGGGTAGTGGGGAGTGAATGGACCCTCCTGTTTGCTGTAGAGGAAGACAACGAAATTGTAAGTCACTCCAGAGCTGTCTTGACTTCAGTACCTAACAATGGGATGTAGCACATGTTGGATGGGAACTTTCGGATCGGTGATACTAACAGTATCACGGGTGCTTACCAGTTGCAAGCTGCTATGTCTGTACTTGCCGGCTGGGTTCGCAGCCTCTTTGAGCCCTGGTTTTTTGCCATTATGGGTTGCGCAGCTGGGTAATCTTTTTAGTAGCGATGAAATGGACCGGCAGCAATTGACAAATGAACGAGGCACCGTGCGCATAATATCACATGGGGATGGGTTATATTGAATTAGCATGTCCGGATGCAACTCCTCTGCAAGATCCATCTGCAACGGGTGTGGGCCCGGTGGAGGAGCTTGCTTCCCTTCCCGCGCGTCTCAAGCGGCACCGTGATGTTACGTTGAGCGTATTCCACTCGCTTCTGGATCTGTTTGGCTTGCTCCACTCCTCTCATCTCCTTCTCCCTTACCAGGCTAGCATTGCTCCATGCTGTGTAGGCACCTTTGCAGAGAGACACGGCCGGCGCGCCAACGCTGGAGAGCCTGGGCACCCGGAGGCCGGCCAACACTCTCGAGGCGACTCGGACCGAGGCCCCCAGGCGACACTCAGCCCCTCGATCGGCTTGCCTCTCCTGTCTAGGCAACGATAAGGCTACGTAATCTGTCATTTTCGTCCCTGTCATTGGTTCGTTACCCAGATAATCAACGTTGATTATTGGTCTTCCACGGCAAGTATCTCACTAAGCCACAGTGCCAACACACTCCTACTTGATTGATTGAAAGGTGCGGACTACGGAAGACGTGTCCGTTAAAATACACCATCGCCCACAATTTGATTGCTTCAACTTAATTTTTCCCACATATATGAACCTGCCTTATTGCAGCCTTCCCACACCAGTCTCTAATAAGCGCAGGTTTCTGGCCATGATCTACAGCTATCATGGTTGAGCCACTTAACACAGCCGCGACGGTTGTTGCGCTCGTTGGCAATGCCCTTGTCCTAAGCCAGCAGGTCTACAGCAAAGCAAACGACATCTCGAACGCTCCCAAACACATCAAAGCTATTTCAATGGACCTAGAAGATTTTTACACCATTCTTGGGACTCTGAAAGGCTACTTAGACGATGATGACCTTTCGTCTGGTGTTTCGCACCATGCGACGTCGGAGAATCTTGAAATGGCACTCAAAAATTCAATCACCATCTTCAAGGACATTAGTAAAGCCCTGGCGCTCTACAATCCCCGCGATGGGTCCGGAAAGATCTCGCAATGGCGAAAGATTGAATTCTCCTTTATGAAGGATGAGATTGAGGCACTAAGGAACAGCCTTGCGGCTAATAAGTTGACATTGAACATGGCTATCTCTGTGGCAAACTTGTAAGCGATGATGTCCCTCTCATCATTCTTGCCCAGCTAAAACAAGAACTCTAACAGTCTTAACCTCCGCGCTGTTAACGAGACGGCTGGAAGAATAGAAGCTGAAATATCGGTTCATATTCGAGAGCTGGAAGAGAAGCTACCTATCATATCCCAGCAACTGGAGGATGTGCAAGCGG